TTATCAAATGCAAAAGCAATGGGTTTAATATTATGTTTACCTTTATAATATAAACTTTCTACATAATCATCGAAATAAACATCTACTTGTTTAATATTTTCAAGAATTGGTGAAAGAACATCCATTAATTGATTGATGGTTACGAATCTTGATCCACTCATTTTCTTACGAATTAAAAAAATAAATTTAACTTAGTTTTAATTTTACGTAAGAAGTCAATTTTTAAATCTTGATTTATTCAAAAACGTAAGAATAAAAACTGTAAGAATCTTACATTTTTTACTTCATATGTTAAAAAAAATGATACAAAATCGTTCAATATTGTATGAATTCTTACGTTTACAAAAAAAGTCACACAACCCGTCCACATATACTACTTTTTTTGAATCCAAAATGAAAAAGGACTACATATATAAATTGCCCTGGCTGCGCCCAGAAATGAAAAATAACTAATAAGTCACTTCTGAAAAATCCCTAATTCCTTACAGAAATTTCTCACAGAAGTGACGCAGCCACGGCAATTTATTAAGTAGTGAAAAAGTAAATGATGCCGTAAGTGACTTCACTCACATATAATAAATAAATAAATAAATTAAAAATAAATCAGCGTTAATTTTTGGGTCGGTCGGTCGGTCGGTCAATGACCTTTGGTTTTCATTAACGAAATCATAAAATTTTTAAAAGGTGACATGTCACCCGATTTTTCACCTAGTTTCTCACCTAGCCGTAAAACGGCTCTGACCCTACGGGTCTGATGATTTCAGTGAGAAATTTCGAGGGGGGCACAAACTTGCCCAGTGAGGTGAAGTGAAAGTGACAGTATTACATGTCAGAAATGTAAAGTGTCAGATTTGAAACAAAAAATGGATTAATTTATTATTATATGATAGAGAGATTTGGTAAGTTACTATCAAATTTGTAAGTAAAGAAAGAAAAAATTTTTTTAAAAATAAAAAGCCACTCGCTTTGCTCGCGGTTGACAAAAAGAACAAATTCGAAAAATAATTGTATGAAATTACGAAACTAAGCCACTCGCTTCGCTCGCGGCTTAAGAAAAGAACAGATTCGAAAAAAGATTGTATGAAATTACGAAACTAAGCCACTCGCTTCGCTCGCGGCTGACGAAAAGAACAGATTCGAAAAAAGATTGTATGAAATTACGAAACTAAGCCACTCGCTTCGCTCGCGGCTGACGAAAAGAACAGATTCGAAAAAAGATTGTATGAAATTACGAAACTAAGCCACTCGCTTCGCTCGCGGCTTAAAAAAGAAACAGATTCGAAAAAAGATTGTATGAAATTACGAAAACTAAGCCACTCGCTTCGCTCGCGGCTTGACGAAAAGAACAGATTCGAAAAAAATTGTACGAAACTACGAAACTAAGCCACTCGCTTCGCTCGCGGCTGACGAAAAGAACAGATTCGAAAAAAGATTGTACGAAACTACGAAACTAAGCCACTCGCTTCGCTCGCGGCTTAAGTAAACAACATATTTCAGATTATCGATACTAAAAATTTTTTTATTTTATTACATTTTTTTTTGCATTTTTTTTAAAGCTTCTTAACTTAAATCATGGAATGTCTCAAAGACAAAAGTAGCATACAGCATGCAAAGCTAAAGAAAGATAATCATAATTAATACCTTAATTTTTAATATTACGCATTTTTAGGTGCAAAATTTAAAAACATTCTAATACAATAGAGCAGTTTCCAAAAGTAGCATACAGCATGCAAAGCTAAAGAAAGATAATCATAATTAATACCTTAATTTTTAATATTACGCATTTTTAGGTGCAAAATTTAAAAACATTCTAATACAATAGAGCAGTTTCCAAAAGTAGCATACAGCATGCAAAGCTAAAGAAAGATAATCATAATTAATACCTTTAAAGTTTAAAATCTTGATTTTTTTTAAAATCAAATATTTATAACTTTAATACATACAGCTTAAACCTTATACTTGTTTTCTCTTGTGAGAAAGCAATCTTACAAAGCTAACAATCCTAAAAAATAAAGAATTAAAATTTAATAATTTAATCTAAAATTAAAATCAAAATTAAATAAAATGAGTTCTTTGTAATAATACTTTCAAGGTAGGATATATTTTAGTGGGATCTATTGAGTCATCACTAACAGCATTGAGCAATCTATTGAGCATTGAAATACTGCGTTAGTTGCTTTTTCCATGATCCTAATGACACGGTCATCTGCTGGATTTTGATCAATTTTGAGTTTGATAACGAAAGATGGTATCACTTTTGTATAAATATCTATAATAACATCATCAATTCTGAGATTTTTTCGATCAGGAAAATAGTCATGTTTGAGTGTTCTAAAATGAGCTTCGGCAATATTGTTAGTTGCGTCGCCTTCACGCCTGTCACGAGCAATCCATCTTGATATGTTGTAACGCCATTGTCTGTTAAAGTATTGAGATGCTGTTGGATCTGTGTCGAGCAACTCCAGAACTTGATCATAGGCAGCATTTGCTTCTTCCTCATGTTCTGCATCTAATTTGAAGACTAAATCCTTCATCAAATTATAGAATTGTTCAAATTTTTCTTGAGAAGAAAACTTATTTGATTTGCGAAGAATTGCACGAAGAACATGTACTCCGCACCAAAGTATTTGAGCTTGTGGAATGCTTTCTTCTATTGCTTGAGCTATCTGTGGAGCACAGTCCATGTTAATGTATTCTGGCTCAATTATTACCCATCTGAGATAGGCGCACACGCAAACTTGAATGTTTTGATAAGTGTCTGGTTGACAAAAGAAATATAAAAAAGGGAAAATGTGAAAATCTTTGATTTTGCCAGTAAATGCATACAATGGAATGTTTGATCGCAACAATTTAAAGGTGCTGTCTATATGAAATGTCTTGATACTATGCGCATAAGCTTTGCCTTCAAAAGGCGCGTAATAGAAACACATATTATTGTCTGAGACTTCAAATGCAATGAGATCATCTGGAGATTCTTCTTGTACTGTCTGAACAAAGATTTGCAATGACACAACATCGTCAGGAGAATATCTAGTTTGAAGAGCATGTATTCTCTCTGCAAATCGTTTGATTGCACGTGGTTTTTGAGCGTACATCTCTGGAATGGACGGACCTGTAAGAGGAATTTCAAGATCTTTGAATGCATTTAGCTGTGCTATCGCTCTTTGATTGTCATCTGTTTGGAAGTAATGTTCTAAATATTTGCGATAAAAGACAGACGAATATTGACTTTTGTCATTTGGGGCGGAATGATCATGTTCTTCAACTATTTTGATTAGTTTGTATTTATTTTGATCCAAGATTGCAACATTAAAATGTGCAGGACATTTTGGATATTTGCAGTGGAATGAAATCTGAGATCTTTCTTTCCTGACACGTTCACCATATCCATACTGTGCTTGTATTTCTTGTTTAACTCCAAATTTACAAAGATCCATAACAGTAAAGATAGTTTCTTCTTCTAATTCCATTTGAAATTGAAATGAAAATTAAAAATTCAGAAATTTGAATAGATTTGGTCTGTAATTAAATGAGAATAGCAGTTTGTTCGTCATTGTTTGAGGCAAGAGTATTATAGGAATATTATATGATGGATTTGAGTTGCATATAAAGAGTGCAAAAGGATAAAGAGAGAAATTTTGTTAGATTAAATTATTAAATTTTAATTCTTTATTTTTTAGGATTGTTAGCTTTGTAAGATTGCTTTCTCACAAGAGAAAACAAGTATAAGGTTTAAGCTGTATGTATTAAAGTTATAAATATTTGATTTTAAAAAAAATCAAGATTTTAAACTTTAAAGGTATTAATTATGATTATCTTTCTTTAGCTTTGCATGCTGTATGCTACTTTTGGAAACTGCTCTATTGTATTAGAATGTTTTTAAATTTTGCACCTAAAAATGCGTAATATTAAAAATTAAGGTATTAATTATGATTATCTTTCTTTAGCTTTACATGCTGTATGCTACTTTTGGAAACTGCTCTATTGTATTAGAATGTTTTTAAATTTTGCACCTAAAAATGCGTAATATTAAAAATTAAGGTATTAATTATGATTATCTTTCTTTAGCTTTACATGCTGTATGCTACTTTTGGAAACTGCTCTATTGTATTAGAATGTTTTTAAATTTTGCACCTAAAAATGCGTAATATTAAAAATTAAGGTATTAATTATGATTATCTTTCTTTAGCTTTACATGCTGTATGCTACTTTTGGAAACTGCTCTATTGTATTAGAATGTTTTTAAATTTTGCACCTAAAAATGCGTAATATTAAAAATTAAGGTATTAATTATGATTATCTTTCTTTAGCTTTACATGCTGTATGCTACTTTTGGAAACTGCTCTATTGTATTAGAATGTTTTTAAATTTTGCACCTAAAAATGCGTAATATTAAAAATTAAGGTATTAATTATGATTATCTTTCTTTAGCTTTACATGCTGTATGCTACTTTTGGAAACTGCTCTATTGTATTAGAATGTTTTTAAATTTTGCACCTAAAAATGCGTAATATTAAAAATTAAGGCATTAATTATGATTATCTTTCTTTAGCTTTGCATGCTGTATGCTACTTTTGGAAACTGCTCTATTGTATTAGAATGTTTTTAAATTTTGCACCTAAAAATGCGTAATATTAAAAATTAAGGTATTAATTATGATTATCTTTCTTTAGCTTTACATGCTGTATGCTACTTTTGTCTTTGAGACATTCCATGATTTAAGTTAAGAAGCTTTAAAAAAAATGCAAAAAAAAATGTAATACTTTACTGGCTGGGCAAATTTGTCGCCGCCCCAATGATAGGTATGCGTGTTATATATTTAATTTAGTAGATTATGGAAATACGATAAAAAATACTACAAATGTATCAGATACAGCAATGAAAATTATGATTTATAGTATAGAACTTAAAATTAATAGGATTGAAGAGAGTTTGAAAAAAGGATAAATAAATAAATTTATTTTTCATTAATTTGATTTTTTATTTTCTACATAAAAGATATGGAAAACATTCCGGATGAAATTTTGAACAAAAACATTTTCGAACTTTTGGAGGAAGAGTTGCAAAAATATATCCCTGATTTTGAGTATTTCGGGAATGATTACAATGGTATGTGGGATTATGTATTAGAAGTAATGGATAATCATAAAGAGGATGATGCCACATTTACGGTTAAAAAGTTTTTGGGTTATTTCTTACCAGAAGAGGGATTCATTCCAAAATCACCACCTCCACCAGAAAGGAAGGAAGTAAAACCAAAAAGTTCAGACGATTTCAAATATTTAAATTATGTGAAGAATGTGAAGAGGGTTAAGGACGATAATACATCAGAACTACTGAGATTGAGAGTCGAAAACGATAAATTGAAAAAAGAAAATAGGGAGTTAAAGAAAAGATTAAAAGAGGAATTAAAGAAAGAGGTTGATTATAGGATAGATTATAAACATTATCTACAATCGTTTTATAACGAAGGTGCAGAATTTATGGAAAAATTAGAACCTAAGGAGGAAAATAAAATTGATGTAAGAAATTATAAACAGTGGAAAGCGTTAAATTCAGACGAGAATCAAAAAACATTATCATATGATAAATGGGATGTGTTTATGAGAAATCCTTATGAAAACGTTTTGGAGTTAAGAGATTTAACATCAACGGGGAGAAAGTCAATATTTCCTTTATTGAAAGAATGGATTGAAGAGTATTTAGGTCAAATGTCTGCAGAAAATAAATATATGTTCTGCTTTAGGGTTAATTATAAATGGCATTCTAAACCATTAACTCCTGAATTATTTAGAGAATTGAAAGAAAAATTTACTTATGAAAACTTTTTATATTCAGCTGAAAATTCATTTGATAATTACATTTCAGACCCAGAAATTACAGAACTTCCGCCATGGTATTTATACGATGCTATTTCATTAAGGGAAGTTAGAGAAAAAGGTTATAATGAAATTGGCGGTTCATTCTTCAAATACTTTAATATATTAGGTTTAAATTTAGAAAGATATCAGATGTTTACAGAAGTTGTTGATGATAAGGGAAAGCAGATACCAGAACTAAACGATTGCTGCTTCATTTATGCACTTCAGAAGTCAGGGAATTTTGAAGAGGATAGTTTAAATTCCATTAGATTAAGAATCCGCAACCGTAATTTATCACAGTCGAACGTTAGGCATTTATGCGAAGAGTTCGGGATTAAAGCAAAAATAAGACAGTTTAGACTTCCTCCGAAGCCAAAAAGTCCAAAGGGGTTTCGGACAAAGTCCATAAAGCCCAAAGGGGTTTCAGGTTAAAAAAGATGTAAAGGATTGATATAAGCACGCGTTCTTTTTATCCTCTCCCCTGTGTTTTTATTTCGGAGTTGATACCATCCATTTAAGTAATCTTCAACTTTCCATACGTCCTGTTTAACTTTCGAACGTTTTTTCGCCATTGTGTCATAATCTTCTAAAACAGAAACTTTAGAACCTTCACCGACATCATAACCTGGTTTATGTATGATGTTGAAATTTTCAGCTTTAATTCTTCTACATATTTCATTTTCCAGCTCTATATCACCAGCTGGAAATATGTAAAAAAATTCATGATTTTAGAAAGTGTTGAATGCGGGGTGTTATTATAAACATCTACTAACTGCTGCATTAACGTTGGGTTTAAATTCTTTCTGACATTAAATGCCATGTCTCGTAAGGTTCTGATAGCCCTATCAACGATTGCTAGTGAATGATGATAAGGGTCCGTTTTATAGTTATCCTTAGGGGTTATTAACTTTATTCTTTCCACAGGAATAAATGTTATACCGTTATTTTTATAAAACTTTTTAGATTTGTCAGAGGCAAACACTCCTTCACCATCTCCTTTTAACCCCTTTATATCTGCACCCTTTCTCATTATTTTCTCCAAAGCGTTTAAATATAAACCCGTATTTCTTTTATCTTTCGTTAACGATTCGTAATTGCCGTCATTAATTAAGTTTGTAGGTTCTACATAAAGTTTTCTTGTGTTATTTTCAATCGCTACTAAATAAACTTCCGAACCGTTAAGCATTAAATCGATTATAAATAAACCGTGAGGAGAAACAGAATGAAGGTAATACTGTCTATTATTTTTCGGAAATGAATTTACTAAATATTTCTCATTCTTTAAATACGGAAATTTATCGTCTATGATTAAATATGCCTGTTTGGATTTAGTTCGAAATGGTATTGGGATAGGTTCAATCTGGCGTTTAATTCTCGTTATATCCTTTCTATTCTCGATTCCTTGTAAATAGCGTTGGTAAATTTCATCTTCATTCCAGGGAGAAGGCGGAAAATCCTTAACTTTATCCATTAACTCTTCATATGTCAATTCTCTGTCAGCCGTTTTAATCAAATCATCTAATAACTGTTCGAATGTTTTCTTTTTTTCTTCCTTATTCACTAATGGATTTTCAACCTTTTCAATTCTTTCTTTTTTCATCGCTGGTGCATATACATCATTAAAATATTTTTCAAATTCCCCCTCAGTCATTTGATACAGTTGAGTAAAGTCTTTTACCAAAGCTTTTTTCAAAACATCCTTACGAATTTTTGGAGCGTTAAGGAAAAAATTCATTCTCTGCGTTAAAAATTCTTTACGTTCTTGTGGATTACACCTATCCAAAAACTCACTCCTTCGTTCATCCATTATTTTAAGATATGAATTCCAAAGAATACGCCAGTTTTCATTCTCAGGATTTCTTGTAATGAGATAATGTTTAAAATACTGAAATGAATAATGGTCGTCTATTAATATTCTCTGTCTCCTAAAATATGTTTTTTCATCTTCATCTGCTTCTACATATTCAGGTTTATCATGTCTTCCTTTATCATATTCATACGGAATAAACCCATGGTCTTTATCACATTTATTCCTTACGTAATTGTCGATAGTTTGAAGAAGGTTATTTGCCGACATATTTAAGTATTATTAAATATTTCATATGTTTCACCATTTTCTAAAAGTTGTTTTATAACAGTACCACTGCTCTTATTACTAAAAATTAACGCTTCACGTTTGTTTAAGTTCTTATACACTTCGTATATTTCATCTCTATCCATCGGTGATGAAAGCTGATTAAGGGTGCACACGAGAGGATCATGTAAACTTCAGAATTTAGAACCTTATTTTTAGGCATTATCTTGGCTACCTATTTAGGCTCGAAAAGCAAAAAATATCAAAAAATACAACTTGACTCAATTATGACCCTTTCATGGAGGTAGTTTTTATCCGCTAGTATTTTCCCTTTGAATCTCTTTACAATTCGAAATCAAATTCAAACCTCAGTAGAAGAAAGGAAGAATCGACTTACTACGGTTGTAATACGAATAAATACATATATTTAATTATTTTTATTTACATAATAATTGTTTGAAGCTCATATTCCAACAAATTTTTAAATAAAAACATTAAAATGTTGAAAATGTTCATATATTTTAATAGGGTTTTGGCACTTTATTGAGGAATTACTACATACATAGTCGAACTGAACTTGATATTTTGAAATTTAAATTATTTATCAAAATTAAAATTTAACTTGAAATTAATAATTATTTAGTCATATTTTGCATAATTCTAAGTAGATTTTGTAAAAAATCAAGAAAGAAAAATTTTAAGGGTGGCTTCCGACCAAATTGTCACTTTTTAGCCCAAGTGAGAAAATTTCGTAATTTATAACCAAGTTTTTTAAAATCTATATTTAATAAAGATTCTATTTTTCTTATTAAATTTCAAAAATGAGGGGGTTCGGAATCGTCCACAAATTGCCGAAAGGGTTTTTGCCAGTTTTGAATCCGCTTATTTTTATCGACCAAAATTATAATAAATATAATTTTCGATAAGTATTCTATCCAAATGAAAAAAAAAAAAAAAAAAAAAGGTAGTGGGGCTTCCAGGCACTTCGTGCCCTCTAGCCCCGAAGATGTTTAGTATAAATGAAGTTTTTATTCGGAAAATTGTTAGTCTTCTGGTGTGAATTCGGAGGACTCTTCTTCTTCCTCCATTGCTTCTGGGAAGAAGCCTTCTTCTAGGTCGAAAACATTATATAATGTGTCGCTTTTCACAAATTATATATGTTTTCATGTTTTGTCACTTTTCTGTCACTTTTCAGGGAAAAAACATTTTTATTATTATATATAAATGAATTTTACAAAACCACCGTTACCGTTCTTTGGAAATAAGAGTAGATGTAAAGATATTATATTGAGAGAACTTAAGAAACTACCGAATGGTCTAACATTTGTAGATTTGTTCGGTGGAAGTTTCTATATATCCCATTTGTGCCATATAATATTCCCAGACTCAAAGATTATATGCAATGACTTCGACAACTATATGGACCGTCTCAAACATATACCAGACACAAACAATATATTGAAAGAGTTAAAAGAAAAGATACCTATAGGTAAGATGGAACGTATACCATTAGATAACAAAAATATTGTGAGAGAGGTTTTGAAAAAAGCAGAATATATAGACTGGGATAGTATATCTGCTAGACTATTATATAGTGGTGCTATAAGAGTTCATGACATTGAAACACTTATGTCAAAAGTTTTATATCTTAACTATACAAATGTTTTCAAAGAGGACATAGAAAAATATATTGAGGGTATAGAGTTTGTGAGATGTCATTGGACAGATTTGTATGAAAAATATAAAGACAAGGAAAATGTTTTCTTTATAGTGGACCCGCCGTTCTATAACACATGGGATTTTCAATACCAAGTAGACTGGACTTTGAGAGACTCTTTAGAAACTTTAGACGTTTTACATAACCATCCATGCTTTTACTTTACATCCGATAAAAGTGGTTTGGAAACCGTTATGAGATGGTTAGAGGACATACATGACTATGAGTTTATATATGACAAGATAGAATATGAGAGAGGACCTATAAACTGGAGAAAGTGTCATAACAAAGAAATTTTATTAGTAAGTAAATGTGGTTTGAAATCGGACTACTTGTTTTAGGTTTTTTCCATTGTGTCATTTATTTCTTTGACGTGGCAGAAAAGTACAGAGAATATGAAGATGAACCAATGCCTGCAAATGTTCAGTATATGTACTCGTAAGAGATATTTTTATCTAATATTAAATGGACGCACAGAACTTAGCGAATGCACAGCAACCTGGACAACCAAACCCAGAGAATATTCCAAATGAAGTTAGAATACAAACTGCAATGGCAAACTATGGTCAAGTGCCAACAGATGTACAAATGCAAACTGCCATGTCAAATGACGCTGCGTTAGGTTTGCCACCATGGTATGCAAATATGAGATGGAAAGAGTTTTATACAAACCCTGAAGTGGGATATAAACAACTTTATGCAGATGACGCGAACACAGGAGTTGACCCAGAATATGTTTTCTACCAGAGGAGAAACAGAATGTATGAGCTCCAGTTAAAGAATGCTATGGAACTCAACAGGAAACGTAAGAGACTAGGCGGACATTAGATTTTTACATATAGTAAAATGGGTTTCTTCAGTAAGATAGGAAACTTCTTTCGAAATGTTGGAAGAGGTATATGGAATGGAATAAAAACCGTAGGAAGAGGAATTTGGAACGGTGTCAAAAATATTGGTAAAAGGGTAGGTCAGTTTGTTGGTATTATACCTAAAGACCCTGAACCAGAAGAACAAGCTCCTGTTATACAACAGCCTGAACCTGCACCACAGTCTAGTTGGCAACCAAATCCAACACCTCAACCGTATTAAAAAATTATATTTTTACCGTTCGATAGTAGTTGTATATGAAACTAAGTTCTAAGTAAAACGCATGGTATAATGGAATTATTCTTTTTCTTCCATCTGTAGTAAACCATACTTGAAAGTCTGAAATACTTCCACTTGGTGGTTCGTATAACTTTGTAGGTTTTTCGTAAAAGTCATTTGCCAAGCATAAGAAAGAGTTTTGGGCGCCAGAAAATGAAGCATGAACAATAATAGCAGCTGGGTCGAAAACATCTTTAAATAAATATGGTTCATCTCTTGCATATCGACTGTAAATATTTGCTAAAGGAAGTTCGACTTTCTGATTTAACATTCTTTGCAAATAATACCATGACATTGCAGTGAATTCTGTATATATTTGTTCGTCTTTATTTGGATTGTTTTCGTAGATTTGAAATGACACTTGTGAATTTTGTTTGTCATATACAATTCTCACATAAAGTGTGCTCTCGGTATTTGCATATTCATCAGCATATTTTGCATAACATGAATTTATTTTATCTTCTATATTTTTTAACGCAGTCTGTAGAGAAGATGAAAGGTCAACTTGTATTAGCTCAATTTCTTCCCACATTTTTCGTTTCCCTTCAGATATATAATCTATATGAAACCTTACAATAAATGGAAAACTTTTATCTTCTACAGACACAAACTTCATTCTACGAAAGCCAATAGCTTTTGTGACAGATGGGTCTCTTAGCCATCTTAATGGGTAGTCAAAACGATAGCCTTCATGCTTTACGGTCTCTGTCTCAAACTTTTGACCGACATTAGTAAAAAGTTCATCTAATGGTTTAGTTGTAGCAACTCTGAATTTTCTTTTCTATTGGAAGCATATTTTATCTAGAATAAAAATGTCAAATGAAACAGCGTCTATGAGAGAAATACAACACAACCGACAACTCATTGTGCAAGCTCTAAATAAGAACACAACAAACTTTTCAAACTATTCTAAGATATCTGAGTCATTGAAAGAAGGAAACTTAAAACTGACATTAAACCCAATGACAGATGAGTTTCTGTTTCAAGACAATAAGAACATACTGTCTGTATAAATCCAACAAAAGGAACTTTAAAACGAGAAACCTATAAATGAACTTCTTTTGAAAGCAGATGTTGACAACAAAGCTGACAAAGAATATGTAGACGATGCAATAGCAAAAGAAGAAGAAAGAGCTAACAATGCTTATGCAACAAAAGAACATACTCATCCTGAACTAGCAGACAAAACATATGTTGACAATAAAATGTCAAGTGAAGTGACAAGAGCTGAAAACGAATATTCTAAAAAGACTCATACACATTCTATATCTGAAATAACAGACTTAAACGTTAGCCTTGAAAATAAGGTAGATAAGGGACTTATGGCTAGTGCGTTAGAGAAGAAAGCAGATAAGGAATATGTGGATGAAAAAGATAAAGAAATTATAGAAAGGGTTGACTGGTACCATGAACGGACATCGAAGATTTTAAAAACTAAAGCCGATACAGGATGGGTTTCAGGATGTTTAGACCTTAAAGCAGATAAAACTTATGTTAACGATGAGTTAGAGAAGAAAGCAGACAAGAACCATACACATACAAGTTTTACAACTGTTGCTATAGAAAGTATTGAAGGAACGGTTGAAGAAACTGGTGGGGATGCAATATATTGTAAACCTCCTAACTTTCCACAAGGTTTAACATCGGATGACGACATAACGACGATGAGAAACATTAGATGTAAAGATGTTTATGTCATGAAGGATGAACATAATATTAAATTCACTGCTCAAGATTTATATGACAAGAAAGCAGACAAAACAGAGCTTCAAACATTAAAGACAGAAATGCTTCAAACATTATATCCTATAGGCTCTATTTATACGTCAATGAACTCTACCAGACCAGAAGTAGTACTTGGTTTTGGAACTTGGACTCAAATAGTCGACAGGTTTTTGTATTGTGCAAACTCTTCAAAGGAAACAGGTGGAAGTAAAACGATTTCAGGTGAAAATTTACCTGCGCACAGTCACTACATAGATTTAAGTACATCTCAAGCAGGTTGGCATAAGCATAGATATTGGGATTGGTCAGCAATGACAAAAGGTAAAGGATATGATGTTAAAGACAACGTTAAGTTTGCTATAGATTGTTACTGGAGTAACACTGAGGGAGGAGGAAACCATACACATCGCGTTTCGGGATATACGCAAACAACGGGACAAAGTAAAGACTACATGCCACCTTACATGACAGTTTACGCATGGTATAGAATTGCTTAGTCGTCATTTTCAACTTCTTTAGCATATTCGTCAGGAGTTGTCTTATATTTGTTAGGAACTGTCTTTGAAAGTATACCACCTTGAACTTTGACAAGTTTGAAACGAGGTCTGACAATAGTAGTTTTATCTTCTGCTTGCAGTGTGTACATTTTGCCATGTTTGCCTAAAACTTCATAATATTCTCTTGTATACTTTCTTCTATTTTTACGAACACGAATGTGAGTACCTGTCGGGTTCCCATTGTTGTCATAGTCAATAGTATTTTCATATGGGTCGCGTTTAGGTATTTCTATTTTTACTTTGTCGCCTTTCTTAAGTTTGAAGCCGGCATTCTTTCTTGTTTGTCTCTTTTGACTAAATTATTAAATATATAGTCTTTCTCTAAGTCAGGGTTGTTTTTCATTTCTTCGGGGGAGTGGTTTCCCAAACCTTTTTGTTTACGGCTATTGTAAATATTTAAAACTTGTCTCATCTTTGCCATGGAGAAGTGTCTATATTTGTCGTCATATGACATTTCATTTGCTTCACCACCTTGTGGTTGGTTTAAGTCTCTTAACATTTTTATACAACCGTCAATGACACCAAGAGCAGAATGGTTTTGGTCGACAATGAAATATTGGTTTACATTTTTTGAACGCAGATAGTTTTTTACATCATCTGATTTGAAAGAACTTTCAAAGTCAGATGTCAGTTTTGTTGGATGGTATTTGTCAACGAATATTGTCAAAGCAGTTTTCACATCTAAAATATTTTTGGACCATAATGGTATGGCTTCACAGTATCTTGTGTTTTGACCGACAAATATTAGCCAGTATGGTGGTCCATCTTCTCTATACCTCGGAATGTTTTCCAAGATATCCATAAACCAAGCATTTGGTGTTGAACTAAAGATTTTTATCATGAGTGCTTTCTTTGTCGCTTTAGAAACATAGGGGTCCTTGTTTGGATTCGTCATTTTTTAACCCATAAGAAATGGGTTTATTTGGCGCATTAGCAGGAGTTGCATCCAGATTTTTGCCGCAGTGGGAACAATAGCCAGAGGTGTATTTGGAGTTGGAAGGAAGATTTTGAGTACATTAGGTATACTTAAAGAGAAAGCACAACCTATTATACAAACTGTACAGAAAGGTTGGGATGTAGCACGAGATGCAACAAATCTTATTCCAAATCCTGAAACAAGAGGAAAAGTTCAAGGATGGATGGACAATGTAGGAAGACAAGCAGGAAACTATTATAACAAAGCAAATGACTACTATAACCAAGCAGGACACTATATGGACCAAGGTGAAAGATTCTTTAACAGAGGATATAACCATGCACAACAGTGGGTAAACAATAACCAACCTCAACCGCCTCAAACGTGGGGAATGTAAAGTTTTTTACTGAGATGAAATGAACAATACAGCATTGAGACAAATGGGTTCAAGATGGATTTGTCGACTTCCAGCAGTTACACAACGTGTTTGTCAAGTTCTTCCTATACCTCAGGAAGTTTTAGACCGACTTAAAAAACCTAAACAACCAGTTGAAAACAAACCAAACTAAAATTTTTTACTGAGATGAAATGACCGAAGAAGTTGAAACGGTAGATTTGACACCACAAACAAAAAGTTCAGAACCATTGTCAAAAACCTGTCAAAGAACTTACAGATGAAGAGAAAAATTCAATAATAGAAAGTGCCAGGTCTGGAAATACAAACCCTAACTATAAAGTCACTTTTCATAGAAATGGAACGGCAAGTATCTCAAAAAAGAAACAGACTCTCACAAATAAAATATTGAAGTCTGAAGGAGCTTTCGAGACAACAGATGGAAAAGTTTACTTCACTGACCAACAGTTCATTATAGAACATCTCATTGACTTAGAGTCGAAATATTCTAAACTTTACAACAAGCACAAAAAGTTGAAAGGAAAACAAAAACAAATGGCATATGATATTTATGAAGATGTTGACGACACAACTGTTCCTGCAGGTGGGGAAAAGTCAGAGGAACCGAAAAGTGACGAAAAACTGATAGAAGAAGAGAAACCAAAAACTGAAGAAAAACCAAAACCAAAGTTTAGTTTGGAAACTAAACCAAGTCAACCTTCATTAGCTGGTATGGGTTGGCGTCAAAGACTTATGGCAGCAGGCGGTTATGTAAAGTAAAGAAAAAAAATATTTTTTTATTTTTATAAAAATGTACGCTGAGTTTGTTGGAGAAGACCGTTGGGAAACTTGTTTGTTAGATGAGAAATATGAAATGGCATACCATTTTAAAACAATATATTTTTACATATATTAAATGCTTCAGGTTGAAAAACAAAGAACAAAAGTAGCAGATACAAAACCGTTAGACTATATCTTTACAAATGCTGGTAGGACTATTTCAGATGAAGAAATTTCATCCCGAATATACAGGTTTGACTATCCAATTCGTTGGCTTCAAAGTCCTTCAGATGCAAAGGCAATAGGATTTAGAAGAGTTTTGTTTTCAAATAGAACTAACGCATTTATGTTCGCAGTATATTTTCATGGGCAGTATAAAGGTTCTGATGGTCTAATAGACAAATTTGACGAAATGAGAATCTTTACAGTTCGTTCAGACGAAAGTCTTGAGAAAACTCTAAATGACTTTCAAACTCAAATGAACAAATATTATTGGGAATTTCAAGAAAAATACGACTCTTTACTAAATGGAACATACTATCTGAAACTAGAATATGACAAGATGAACTCCACCGTTTCATTTCAAAGGATTGAAATTAACCCTCCAAGAGATACAGAGTTTTTATTTTGGGAAGTAGACAAACGTTCTTGGGCACAATTTCTTCGGTTACTAAACCAGAACGAACCATTACAACCAGATGGTCCATTTAAATTTATACTTCCACCAGCAGATTTGATGGTTTATAGAAACGTGTTTGACCCTCAAAATGTTATGTGTCATGCAAGTTTCAGTTCAAGCAACAATAGTTTTCTATGTATTGGTAAGGACTTTTATGACTTTGCTTCTAAATTCTACGAACCACCTAGTAACAGTTTCTCTGACTTTCAAGTTTGGTTCACAACAAATGGTGTGCAACATATTATTCCATTGTACTATGACTTTTATCTCGAATTGTCTTTCATATATAACTACGGAAAAGTGCTGAAAAAGTATTGAAAAATAATGTTTAGGGTAGAAGGTTAGATCTAACCTCTTTTCTAACATCGTAGAAAACTCATGAAAACAATTTATTTTTGTGAATATGTAAGCGGCTCATAGCTCAGTGGTATGGGCTACCTCGTTAAAGGCGTCGAAGACCTCGGTTCAAATCCCGATTCGCGCAGGTTTTTTCCTTTTATGCAGTGAAATTTCATGTACATAGGTTACTTTGGTGTTAGACCCTAGTGAAGAAAATAGAACGATATAAGTTTACATTTGTAAGGTTACTTTGGTGTTAGACCCTAGTGAAGAAAATAGAACGATATAAGTTTACATTTGTAAAGTTGGACGATAAAAAATCTCTGCTACTGTCAGTAAAAGTACTGCTACTGTCAGTAAAAGTACTGCTACTGTCAGTAAAAGTACTGCTACTGTCAGTAAAAGTACTGCTATTGTCAGTAAAAGTACTGCTATTGTCAGTAAAAAGGAAAATTTGAGAGGGTTTTCGACGATAAAGTACTGCTACTGTCAGTAAAAGTACTGCTACTGTCAGTAAAAGTACTGCTACTGTCAGTAAAAGTACTGCTACTGTCAGTAAAAGTACTGCTACTGTCAGTAGCAGTACTGCTAGTAGCAGAGATTTTTATCGTTTGTGGTCCGACGGTTAAGCCACAAACGAATGTCCGACGTCCCACCAACCGAGTCCATTCCCAAACCAGAGGAACCTAAAGAACCACAACAGTCTCCTCAGCAACCTCAGTTCCAGCAAGTACCTCCGAATTTCTACCAATTTCCACCTCAAGGTTACTACCCACCACAAGGCTTCCCGAACTACCCTCCTCAGCCTATGCCTTACTTCCCCAACCCTTGGATGTTCCAGCAAGCTCCACCCCAGCAATTCCAATCTCAATCCAAATCGAAGAGAGACCAAGAGTTCGAAGAAGGTCTGAACCGCTTACGCAAAGAGTATGCTACTACCCCAATTGAGAGAAAGTTGTTCCCGGACCAAAAAATAAAGTTTAGGGTAGAAGGTTAGATCTAACCTGTTTTCTAACCTGTTTTTTCACCCTCTTGAATTTGTCATGATTTCATCGTAAATGTTTTGTCAAGACTTCTTCGTAATGAGTGTAAAGGACCAAAAAATATAATTTAGGGTAGAAGGTTAGATCTAACCTCTTTTCTAACCTCTTTTCTACCCTCTTGAATTTGTCATGATTTCATCGTAAATGTTTTGTCAAGACTTCTTCGTAAATGTTTTGTCATGACTTCTTCGTAAATGTTTTGTCAAGACTTCTTCGTAATGAGTGTAAAGGACCCAAAAATATAATTTAGGGTAGAAGGTTAGATCTAACCTCTTTTCTAACCTCTTTTCTACCCTCTTGAATTTTCATGAATTTTCATGAATTTCCTTAAGATAAAAAAAATAAAGTTAGTTTTATTTTTTTTATTTTTTTTATTTTGTATAAAAGATATGATTTCAACAATCGGCACAACAACAATTAAAACTACAGCACCAAACTCTTTAGTCATGAATCCTACGTCAATGTTAGTAGAAATGAAAAGCTTCATTCCTTCTTCATATACTTTTGAAACAGAAATCCAGAAGATAAAGCAGGAACTTTTAACATGTAATTTAGACTGTAGTGCGAAAGATGAAACAAATGAACAGTATCTTTATGAAATGCAGGACATTATTGACCATTTACCCAAATTGCCTGAAATCCAACAACAAAAGCTCACTATTCCTGAATTCGATGAAATAGAAGTCAAAGCAACTGACTCAGTAGAAATAAAGAAGTTCATACGAAAGGTAAACTATGAGTTTCTAGGATTTCATTGCAACCATAAAGTTATGGACAAAGATTGCGACATGGTATATAAGAACATCTCTGACATATATAAATCGGTGGAGTTTAAGACCTACGACAACTTTGTTTCGTTAGTTGCTGAATGTGTATGGCAGATAAGAGATAAAGATAGAAGAGGTAAGGTATGGAATGAACAGATAAAACCAGCAGCTTTTGAGTTAAAGAAAACCATTGACGCCTTAGTTGTTTTAGCAGGTAAGGTTTCAGAATATAACGCAAAAATGAACCCGCAATGTTCAAAATGTAAAGCGGCAATTAGGAAATATAACTACTCCGTCAAAGAGATAGAAAGAATGAGAAACGACTATGCAGATTTAAAGAAAGAAGCAGAAAAACCAGCAGAAGATAAAATGGACATGTTAGAATTTCTGAACAAAAACTATCCAACAGCAGAAGATTTCCTTCTATCTGACGTCAAGAAGAAATATAAAGAAACTTTCGACATTGTTAAAACATTCGATATCCTCAGCGAAGAAATAGAAGCTACAAAACTGTTTAGAGTCTCACGAATTCATAACGTTTACCATGTAAAACGCTTATAAAATAACTGGGGTAGAAAAGAGGTTAGAAAACAGGTTAGATCTAACCTTCTACCCTAAAATATATTTTTGCTGAAAAATGACCAAAATTCTGAGTAAAATAATTTTTAGGGCTTGTGTCAAACCGTTGAGTTTTCACAAAATTCCAAAAATAACGTTTACCATGTGAAACGCTTATAAAATAACTGGGGTAGAAAAGAGGTGAGAAAAGAGGTGAGATCTAACCTTCTACCCTAAAATATATTTTTGTCTGATTTACGCTCATTACGAAGAAGTCTTGACAAAACATATACGAAGAAGTCTTGACAAAACATTTACGAAGAAGTCATGAAAATTCAAGAGGTGAGAAAAGAGGTGAGAAAAGAGGTGAGATCTAACCTTCTACCCTAAATTATATTTTTATTGAATTCAGCAACAAAAATCTGAGTAAAATGGCATAAGATTGCTTCCCGAGGAAAACCGAGAGAAGAGATTCCGTATGAAAATCGTAAAAAATTGCGAGTAGGTAAGAAAACGTAGTCGCCAAAACTCTATGAAAATCGTGAAAATTCTCTAGACCGTTTTTTTTCGGTCTTGCATAAAACTCATGAAAATCAGTGAAGAACAGCGAGACCGACTTCCTTCGGGGTCGCCAAAACTCTATGAAAATCATGAAGAACAGCGAGTACGTAAGAAAACGTAGTCGCCAAAACTCTATGAAAATCATGAAGAACAGCGAGTACGTAAGAAAACGTAGTCGCCTAAAACTCATGAAAATCATGAATTTCCTTAAGATAGAAAAAATAAAGTTAGTTTTTTATAAAATATTTTTTTTATCTTGTATGTAAGAACAGAAATGTTAAACATTGAGTTTGAAACAGTTAGAAAGATAGACAATGACACCAAAGTGGTTAGAATAGGTGATTTAAACGTAAGATACTCAAAGAAATACAACAAATATTCTTTGTCAGACATTATATCTCCATCTGGAAAGAAAACATCCCACGAGTGGGTTAAAATTGCTTCTACTCAGAAAATTTTGACAAGAAATCCTGAGCTTATGATATCGGTAAGATTCTATGGAACTACAGCATATCTTATAGACAAAAGTCTTATACCAATAGTTTTGTTATGGTTAGACCCAGTTGTTGGATATAACTTCATAACATATGGTTCATTCGATACGGAACGTTGCAGTGAAGGCTTACTTTACATCGTTCAGAAACCGAAGGACTTCAATACAAAGAGATATAAGATAGGAAGAACATATAATATAACTCAAAGATATGACAGTACAGTCAATAGAGTTAAGGTTGTGTTCGTTAACGATATGAGAGCTGCTGAAACAGAACTACTTGAAAAGTTTGAGAAAATGTATGGTGCTCCCATAAAAGGTAAAGAAACGTTTGAAGTAGATGAGATAGATAAAGCTATAAAATTATTTGACGAAGTTGCTGAAAAATACATGTAAAGCGTTTATTTTTGGTCTTTTGTGAAAGTCAGAAAATAAAGTTAGTTTTATTTTTTTATTTTTTTTATCTTGTATGTAAAGACAGATATGTCAACAACAGAGAACACAACAACTGCTATCGTTCATGAAGCTATAAATGAAGAATATGAGTGGGTTCAGTTTAACAAACAACTCCGTCTCATTCGTTCGGTCAAAGACGATATGTACCAAATGCAAAGTATTTTGACAGCATGTTTTGCTCCAGATACTAAGCTTCCTAAAGACTGGTTTAGGAACCAAAGCACACAAGAACTTTTGAGCGAAGCACAGCGAGACATACTTTTTTCTGAAAACAGTGAAGCACAGCGAGTAGGGAAGAAACCCCAGTCGCCAAAACTCTATGAAAATCGTGAAAAATTGCCAAACGGTTTGAGAGGATATTATGTACATAGACTTCTTGTAAATGCTGTTGCAATGTGGGCTTCGCCTCGTTATGCTTGGAATATTTACAGACTTCTTGACGAAATTCATAGACAAGAACGTGAAGAGCTAGAGAACAAGCTTGAAGCAAAAGACAAAAACATTCAGAAAAGAATACCACGTTCGGTACCAAAAGGTAAGGAAAAGAACTATAAGTATATGATTTATACTGAAGAGTTGGAAAATGAAGAAGATAAAGATATGGTTATGTTGCATTTAGTCAGAAGAAACAACAAAAGCTTTTACGACCTTGCTAAGATTTACAAATCTGACAGAAATTGGTTCTATCGCGAAAACTTACCGATTTCAATGACCCCAAATGAAGATGTGAAACAAATAGTTCAAGATACGTTACCTCAAACTCACTATGATATGAAAGGTTGTACAATACTTACCTTCAAGAAGATTACCGCTACTGAAAGAAAAAATAACAGAGTATTTTGACAACTTCAAACAAGCAGAGTAAATGAACTCTTTATTTTTCAAGCTTGACTTCAGATGGCTCAGGTAGCTCTATAAAGTAAATTGCCTTGTCAAATCCTTCTGGCATTCCGAGTCCGTCCATCCGACAGAAAAATATTTTCCCGACAACAGAAAAAATTTTTCCCGACGACAAGAAAAAATTTTCCAGTTGTCCGTCCGTAAACCATTCAAATTTTCGAAAATTGAGAACTTTTTGGTCGAACTTCAGGAAAAGTTTTTCCTTCCAACAGAAAAAGTTTTTCCTTCCGACAGGAAAAGTTCTTCCATCCGACAGGACACAAACGGATGACTGACGTTCCTCTTCCTGAATGCCTTCCAAAGCCAGAAGAACCGACAGCCCCAGCACCACAACAGACTTACTAAGACTAAACACTTAGATTTTTCAAGCTTGACTTTTTACAATTTGAACTTTGTTTGCGTAGATATGAATTCTGAAAGAAGTATGAGGGTCTTGTATGACTTTGTACTTCTCCCATAGTTCATGTCTGTCAAACTTACCTGCCATGGACTCTTTCATAAGTTCCATGAAATCGTCTTCGGACAATCCGGGGAAAAGTATAATGTCAGTAAGTATTCTTTTAACATCCTTACTTAAACTCTTTGCTGTCTGTACACAAATGACAACTGAGATGTTAAAGTGCCTAAGTTTCTTAAGAATTCGACACATATCTTGTTCTCTATTCTTAAGCAAAGGATGAGAGGCGAAATCATCTAAGATAAGAAGACACCTATGAGGGTATGTCTTCCAATCGTAAGATTGCAATTTCTTCGAAATGTATTCTATCTCTTTCTGTTTGTTTCTGAAGTGTTTCTTCTCTAATATTCTCTGCATTTCCTCATTTGGGTCTTTAAACTTAGAATTTATATACTCATTTATAGCATTGTACTTCAAAACTCTTCTTTGGTACTTCTTTATCCAATCTAACAACTCAGTATCCTTTATACATACTAACTTAGACTTCTTTATAATATCTTTGAACGAATTGACGGTTTGGTCAAATTGACCAGAAGTACTACAAATAACAACTAACTCATAGAATGGGTTCTTCTCATCTAGTTCTTGTTGTTGTGCAGCCATTTTAAGATAAGTGAAAGTCTTACCCGACCCAGGTGGTGCAATTAGACCTGTTATACCATTCTGAGCAAATAAGAACTTTCATGTATAGGCTTTATCTGAGCATTTTCTAACTTCTCTTGTTCTTGTTTAAAACATTCTCAAATTTCTTGTCAATGTCAGCAAACTTTTTTTCTAACATATTTTTAGAAAAATTAAAATTTTTATCTTTTAGAAAATGTCTAGCGATTTCGCTATCTATATTCGAGACAAGCTTTTCGACAGCAAAACATCTGTCGACCATAAAATCTTACATAGTGTAAACAAGAAAGGTGAATTTGTTCTAAAGTTCTGTTTCTGGGAATATGACAAGAACCATAAAACATTAAGCAGAGCAGTCTTAAAATTTGTCAATGACAGACTTGTTGACAGAGATGACGCCTCTTGGAGAGATGAAGTCCAACAAAACTTCTTAGAATGCAAAGAAGACACATGCGCTGTTCTTGAAGATGAAATAGAAAACAGAATAGATGAGCTATTAAAGGACAAAGAACTTTTACATAAATATGGTTGCGCCAAAATTTGACATAACTCCACCAGAAAAGAAGAAGAGAGAAAAGAAAGAAAAGAAAGTAGAAGAAGAGAAGAAAGAACCTGAACCAGTTCCAGAGAAAAAGAAATTTGACATGTAAAAATAAAATTTTATTTTTAGAACATTTCTGGGTCAATGTCAATGTTCTCTTCCTCTTTAGGGGCAAACACTGGCTTAGACTCTAAAATCTTTTTACCCAATTTACCTTGAACTTCAACTATCTTAGACTCATAATATTCATAGTCGTCTGCTTTCTTTGGTTCATAAGGTATAACAAGTTTGTATGCTTTACCTTCTTCGAGTTTTGAGAACTTTCTGTCAAAATTTCTTTGACTGTCAACATACCGTCAATGTATAAGTCTTCAAATTTCGCACCATTTTTAGTCTACAACAGCAAACTTAACTGGTGAATGTTCCAAATTTTGTCAATGAGACTTTTCAAAATTGTAGAAGTAAACATTCAAATATGTGAATGGGTCTAGTTCTTCTTTAAGTCCTGACATGTACTTGTTTACTGAGATGAATTTTGTCATCTTTTCTATCGGATAAAAAAATATTTTTTTTTAAATTTACTCATAAAAATTTTTCTTTGTATATACACCATTCTGTACGTCTAAAAGACTTTTGACATTTGCCAAGAATGTTCGTTTAGAAGCTGCATATAACCATATTCTTGACAATATTGTTTATACGAATCGTACAATGACCTTTCATCTAATGACACAAAGTCAGTTTCATCTATGAACAGTTCATATACACTCTTGTTTGCTTCTAACAATGTTTGTCTCTCTTCGGTATGTGGAATTTGTCTTGGATTGAACTTAGAAATATCTAATGTCATGAAATATGAGAACAAGTGGTTGTAAAAGTCAGATGTCAAAGTTCTGACTAAGCGTCAAAATATTCTGTATCTTGCATATGAGAATCTGATGTTCTGACAACTACATATCTTCTGTCAGAACTTTCTAACTTCATCGGAACAGTATTGTTTGAAACCATAATGAAGTTTGCAACATTTTCACAAACTCTTTGGTCTTTATATTTTCTTTCAACAACTCCAACTTTGTCTGTTATAAGACTCTTCAAAGCATCTGAGTTCAAAACTTTTGTTGTATCTATACTTTGAAGTTCATTGCAAACTATAAGTTTCATATTCTCTATTGAGGAGTTAAACTTGCCACAGATGTTTTCTAAGTTTGTCATATTAGGGTTCGAATAGCCCTCTAATAGTTTGCATAAGATATCTGTAAAGAATGTGTTCTTACCAGTTCCTTGTTTTCCAATTATAATGAGAGCAGTTTCATTTTTAGCACTTGGATGTTGTAAGATGTTTGCAAACCAACATAAGATATACTCATAGACTCTTTCGTTTCCATTGCATATAATTTCTTTGACATGGTCTAACCAAGCTTCTATAATATTTTCTTTCCATTCTACTTGTTCATATTTATATCCAGTGAAGATAGAATAGAAGTTTGGAGAAGGTGTATAAACTTTATACCACGAACTGAAAAATCTTCTAACTTTGACAATAAGATATCCCAAGCATCTAACATCTTCATGCCAACTTGTACAACTTTTATTTTCTTAAGTTTCTGTCTACATTCTTGTTCTGAAACTATTGTTGCTCTTGGTTTGTTAAAGACTAACATCCCATTCTTTCATAACATAACATTCTGGGGCAGAGTCGACATAAATGACTAAACGTTTCAAATTCTCGACTGCTTTGTTATAGTCTCGAAATGGACACATATTTCTGAATGCTTGGAAGTCATAAAAATCTGAAACATCTATTCTGTACATTTTTAAAAATAAAAAAATATTTTTTTTATTCTTGACTTTGTTGTTCCATTTGTTGCATTTGTTGTTCTTGAGCTATTTGTTGTTGAAGTTGTTCTTGTAATACAATACTTTCACCAGTTGCATCTTCCAATTCGAAACTTTCTGCCGTCATTGACAAATACATAGGACATAAAAGTTTTACAGGAACAAAGTTTGCGTCAACTAATGTCAACGTTATACTTGCCAAAGTGTTTGAGTTCACTAAGGTTGAAAATTCTGCATTCGAATGAACAATAGGCAAACCAGCAGAGAAAGTATTGTTTATACGCATAAGTATCTTTTGGTCATAGTAGTTTCTGTCGACATTCGAATAGCACTTTGAACCTAAGTTTGAAACAATATATAAAATAGGTGTGCTTAATGTCAATGGAATAGACATTCCTTGTATGACACCTTTTCCTGTTATAGGAAACTGTTGGTAGTAAAAACCAGAAATAAGTTTTGTATTATAGCTCATATCGTGTTATAGTAAACTCAGTCGGACATCCAAACATAATGAAACCTGCTCTAGTTGCAGCACATGTTACACCCGTCCTTAAAGTATTAAATAAGTCAACAAAACCTGTTGGTGGTATATCTGAATAAGTATCTTCAAAGGAGTATTTTTTACCATTCACAACAATAAAGTCTTCTGGTGTCAAAAGAGCAAAACAGGCTTTAGTCGTCATTGTGTTTAAAGTTAGTTTACAATACCGTCCTTGAGGACTTTGTAAGTTTGTTGTTATAGAATTATATGACTCAGGGTTTTTAGTCGTAATAGTATAAACCATTATATCTTCTGCCATTTATATATATTTAAAAGTTTTTCTGAAAGTGGAGAAGAACTTCATCTAAACTTTCACATGGCGTTTCTTGAAGTTCTCTGTCTAAGAAGTTCAAATATTTTGTAAAGACATAGAACTTTCCTTTGTCTACACGAACAAACAAAACAGGGTCTTTCATATCGTTCAAAAGTGTGTAAAGTCCTTTACATGAAATAAAGTCTATATTATTTTTCTTCAAACATCTTTCAAGAAGTTTTGACATTTTACTTAGCAAATAAATTTTAATGAAATGTTGTGGTCGTCAAATATTTTTATGACGTCTGGGAAACTATACTTTAAGTTCAACGTTTCACCTCCTTTCATAACGTATATCTTGTCAATGACATTATATGAAACACCACAGCAACTAATGTCGGGTTCTATTTCTTTGATGTTTATATCGTCTGCCTCTGTCAAAAGTTTCAATAGTTCTTTCAAAACTTCATGAGGTGCAATGACATATGAGTTCACTTTTACAGGGTTGTGTTCGACCAAGTTTAACATTATACTTAAAGCTTGACAAATCTTCTCCTGAGTTTGAAGTTTGTCTTTCAGTTGTTGGTAGTCATTTCGAATATCTGCAACAGAACTTAAGTCTCTGCTAACTTCAGGATATGTTGGTTGTTCTTTTACAGGAACAATTGTTATACCATCTTCGTCTTCGTATGGTTTCCCCACTTCAACATCTCTGTCTTTGACATTGACAACAACACTTTGACTGTTTGTTTGAGTTGGTGAATTTAACTTCACATCTGCCACCGCCATTAAACCTTTTGAAACACTCACGCTTCTATTTTTCGGAAATGACATTTTACTTAGAATAAAAAGATGGACGTATTCGAGTATCTCTTCGAATTGAAGCAGAACAAAGTTTACACACACAAACAATACAAATACATTGACAGAATAGTTCTTTATACAAACAATGGTAAATGTTATAGAATAGCAGTCTTTGCTGAACCAAAATATTTTCATAAAGCAAAGAAAGTTGGTATAACTGAAATGGTGAAAGTTCTTGAAGCAGACAAAAATATAACTTCAAAACTTACAGATATTTCTAAAGGAAAGTTTATAATACAATATTATGTCAAAACTGGCGTACTGTCAATATTTGACGGAGAGAAGTCAGTTCAAGAACAACTTACTGACCTGCTGCCAAAATCTGCTCGATGGAAGCTGTCGTTATGCCAATCTGAGGAGCCCCAGCAGGTTTCATCGAACGAATCTTCAAAAGAGCATCTTCCGTGAAAAGTGCTATTGGTTTTGTAAACTTCTTTGCTCTCAGTTCATCTGGACCGTCTCTGTCACCAGTATATTGTATTTGTACAGTACCAACAGTTGAAATACCACCCATAAAGTCTTCTGAGTCAGCAAATGGAATGCCAAGCCAAAAGTTTGAACGGTCTCCATTTGTATATTGAGTTTTTTGACCTCCTGTATGAGTCCATACTTTCACATATGGCATAATAGAACTTTGCATTTCAGGGTTAATGGTTGTTGTGAAGTTGTTGTTAAAGTTCATAGCATCTAATGTCAAGTTGTATGACCTCATATCCCAACTGTAGAATATTCTTCTCTTGGATAATATTTGCCATCTATGTTTATATGATATTTAATACCGGGGTTGTAGAAACAAGAATAGTCATTTATAGTTCGTCTGAAAGTACAAACATAGTATCTGCATGTTTCATTGCAGTTGTTAAAGCAATATCTGTTCTTGCACCTGGGTCAGCACTTTGGTTTCCAACTTCACCTGCAAAGTCTTTGACAGATATTGGTGTATAGGGAACATAAGTGGAACTGGCAATATATTTGGCAGCTAAAGCATTTGAAATATCTGGGTCCAACATATAGACTGCAAGTCTGCTTTCTATTTCTCTTGCATTCAAACTTTTCGCATGTAAACTTAACTGGGTCCCAAGCAGTTCCAGCAGCATTGAAATAATAGTTTACTTCATTGTTGAAGTTTGAGAAACAAAGTCTAAGTCAACTTTGTCTTTGCAAAAGTCGGCGAATGATGTTTTATTTGTTCCATTACGTCTGTAAGAGTGAATGGGTCTTGTGTTGGTGCAATGACTAAGTTATTTTGCTTGGAGTAAGTTCAATAGAAATTTTTCCTGCCCAGTTTGGCAAGTATCTTAAAAACCTGAAGATGAGGAAAGATGACAAAGGAACTCTAAGTTTCAGTTTTACTTTAGTGGCAGCAGTTCCATCTGAACCAGAAAGGTTAACATAAACTCCTGGAACGTTAGGGTCAAGTCTTCTTATTTTCTCAATATTTGCATACTGGTCTGTTTGTTCTCTAGCTTGTGGTTGTACTGAGTTTCTCAAAGCGAACCATTCATAGTTTGCCCATGTTACTGTTTGAACTAAGTCAGAGTTAGAATATATCTTATATCCCATGAAAACTTCTGGAGCATATTGGTATCCGACATAGAAAATTCCATTGCAACCTTTCTTGTCAGACAACTTGGCAGAAAGGTTTTATTTCAATGTCTTGTTCCACGTATAAGAATGAGTTGTCAATAGAAATAATATGAAACCTGTCGCAAGCAATATCTACTGTTGTTGAAGAACCTTCACCAAACTCACCTACATTTCCATAAGAAACAGCAGTTGTTATTTCGTAAGTTCCAGGAACTATTTCTGACCTTCTAATGGCATTGTCGCATTCGTTATACCATTCGGAAACATTTCCGTTCATGGCATCCAAAACTGTTGGCGTTATATTCTGAAGCGGCGTACATTTCATATGGGTAAAAATATAGAATAGTTTGGATTTATATATCATAATAGAACCCACTTGGACCAAGCTTTACTTTCTTCCTGACTGAGTTTTTAACTTCTTCTTTTCCTCATTGCCACTACTTTCACTAGATGAAGTTACTTCTTCACTATTTTCACTTTGTTCTACTCTTCTTCTTTGGTGTCGCTTTTGGTAACTTGCCCTCTGCTTCAAGTTGTTGCATCTTTGCCTCATGTTCACCTAGTATGTTGTAAATTTCACGTGTCCTTTTTGCCTTTGGGCTCTGGTCGCCCATCTCAGGTAACCAATATCCTAGAAAGATTTTGTCATAGTTTGTATTTGAGTCTTCGCGTATTGTTTGCATGACTCTTTCCTGAGTTTCCGGTTCAAGCTCTTCAAAACAGAGCTTGTCCATATGGAATAAGCTCGTTTCCAAATATATGTTTTTGTAGCCATTCTGGTTTTCTTTCCATGTTACCAATAATATCTTTTGTGAATGGGAAAGCTTTTACCCAATGTTTCAGTCTTGCGTCATTTATTTCTGTAGTTGGTTTTATTTTGTCAAGGAACATGTTTTTCAATACTAACATTTCATTTGGTACTGTCCATTTGAGTTTTTTTAAATATTCATCCCTTCTCAGTTCATTGTCTGCAAAGTAAGTTTTTATGACATTTTGTAAACTTTCGTTTGCAAGGTCATGTACAATAGGTTCTCTTCTTCTCTCTCCCTAACTTTCTTTCTAACTCTTCACCAAATATACCATCTCTATGGTTCTGTGTAGTTCTTTGAGATAAATGTTCTAGAACGTCAGGTGTTATATTTCCATCAGCCATGTTCATTTCATTACTGGTTCAAAATATCTGCATCTTTCATATCTTTCAATGGCATTAAAGCCGCGCTGAAAATACCAGCTACATCTGGTTCACCATTCACTTCCATTGCGTCTACAACTTCTTGGAATTGTGGTTGTAAGTTTATGAACCACTATCCGGATTAGCTTTATGACCCATCTCATTGTAGTTCCATAGTCTGCAGAAACAAAAGTAGGTTTGTTTCCATATTGGTTAGGTTCTGAATGAACTTTAAACAATGTTTCATTTCTATATGTTTTGTTGAAATTTAACCTTTTATTTTCACCGAGTTCATCCAAAGATTGAACGTTATATGCTCGTAAGTAAAAAGGATTGTTGTATTTGCGTACACTTTCTTTCAGTTCTTCCATTCTATGCTGAATATTTTCATCTGATGTTGGAGTCTTTTGTATGTCGGCGAACATTTTTCGATATTCTTCTACTATGTCAGCCGAATTTTTCTTAGACTCTTGGAAAGATTCCATATTCTCCGCATACTCTTGTTGAGGGTCAAGATTTTTCGGCTGTTCCAAATCTTCATCTAGTTCTGTGAAGTTAGTTTCCAAAGGAGGGACTTGTTTGTTTCCTTCAGGCTCTTCTAGCTGTTGTTGCTGAACTATTTCTTCCATGTCTGGTTGTATCTGAACTTCTTCCTGTGGAGTTTCTTGTACCTCATCTGCTGGCAATTTCATATATTCCGAGACCGTTTTTAAAAAGTTCCCTATCTAAGTCATCCGGACTCATAAACCTTTCTTCTTTCGTTCCGTCTCTATTTTTTACGCATTTCATGAAAGAGAGTTGAATTATCATTTAGCTCTGACACCAAATATCTCGGAGTAAATTCAGTCATGTCATTTGGATGATATGCTATTAAATCATATCCCTTAGCGAGCTTGTATTTTCCAGGTTTGAAATTATATCCCATTTGGTGCTGAGCCATAAAGCTAAATAGGTTCGGGTCAGTATTTCCTTCCTTGAACTTTCTAATAGCTTCTTTATATCTGTCACTAAAGTCAAGAGTATCTGGGTAACCATAGTCTTCCTTAAGCATTTTTAAGAATTCTTGGTTTCCTTGTTCTCTACTTCTTTTATGTCCTTGCTCTGTTTGTGGTTGTTGTTGTGCAGGGTTTTGAACTGTTGTTTGCTGTGCTGGTTGTGGTGCAGGGTTTTGAACTGTTGGTTGCTGTGCAGTGTTTTGAACTGTTGGTTGTGGTGCTGGATTTTGAACTGTTGGTTGCTGTGCTGGATTTTGAACTGTTGGTTTTGGTGCATGCCTGTGTCTGTGTCCATGTGACGATGTAAATGTTTTAGGTAGTCCTGGTGCAGGTGCTTCTCTTGGAGGGTTTGGTGGTATATAAGTTCCACTAGCTAGTATATAAGTTCCACCAGCTGGTATATAAGTTCCACCAGCTGGCACATATGTTCCATCTGCAGCATAATGTCCTACCTGACTTTTCGTTCTTAAGAAAGCATTTACTAGGTCTGTTTGGTCTGTTGTAACTCTTTTTCTTGACTTTCCACAACAGTTGCTCTAACGGCGTCATAGGCACTTTGAACTGCCTGTCTCGTTGCTGCATCTGTTATTTTCGTCATATTTTGTGCTACTTCTCTTAACTCGTTGTCGAAACCTTCAGACTTCAGTTTCTTTCCAGATGAGAAGTCGTTCACTAGTTTCACCTTACTATGAAGAGCTTCGAAGGCGTTCTTAAAGTCAGCATTCATTAAAGCTTCATTTGAACTGTCTTCATCCGCTTGTATTTTTGTCCTTATTGACCCTATAGTTGGGCTGCTTTAGCGTTGGCTTGGGCATCTAACCAGTCATTTTTAGCTTTTATATATTCTGCACTTTTCATTGCCTTTTGCATGGCTGCGTCGTTATTTTTACTTTCTTGTGCTAAGTTTTCATACTGTACGGTTTGGTTTTGCAACTGTAAAAGTTTTTCTGCCTTTACATTTGCTTCAACTTCTTTTTTATACTCATCGCTATCCATATATGTCTTCAGGGCTTTTTGTTTTATTTCTTCATCTTTCAGTACTTTATATTGAGTAGTATGGTTTTTCAAATTTATAACATCTTGTTCCATTTTTGCTACTTCTGCTGCTTTTTCTGACACTTTTTTCGCATATTCCTCTGTACTTAGTTCTTTCAGTTGTTCTTCTTTCTTCTTTTTCTCTACGTTTAACTCATTGAGTTTCTTTGTGTGTCTGTCATATTCTAGTTTCTTTTCGTTTTCACTTATTTGTTTCTGTATGTCTATATGTTTGACTTTTTGACATCTGTTATTTGATTTTTGAGTGAACTCAAATTCATTTGACTTTGAGGGTTATAAGCTGTTCCGTCTGCAGCTCCACCATAGCCTGCCATTTTCGCTAAAAGTGCCGCTCTTAAACCTCCACTCTGTGCACAATAACTCGGCTTAAAAGCATAGGGTTGCTTGACATTTGTTGCAACATAGTGGGGTCATTCATCATTTGTTGTTGCAACTGTTGTTGTGGTGTCAGTTTTACTATTGGATGTTTCAATGCTCCCTTCCTCTTACGTATATTCTTACGTAGCTTACGTGGCATTTTAAGTGAAGTTAAAAAGCGGTTTTTGACAGATGTTTATATGACACTTTTTGTTCAGCACAAAAAACTACTCGGTCAAAGTGTTGTCAGTTTTGTAAAATAACCGTCCTATCTTGTTTTAAAATGGAGAAAAGGCTTCTCAAAGTATACTTCCTTGGAACGCCCGTAACTTTTCCTGTAGCGACGATAGACCCTTACTTGTCCGGACAAAGTTATACTAAACTTTTTATGGGCTAGAGGGCGCAACGCGCCCGGAAGGCCATCCCAAAAAAAAAAAAAACTTCATTATACCAAACATCCTCAGGGCTAGAAGGCACGAAGTGCCTGGAAGCCCCACTCCCTTTTTTTTTTTTTTTTTTTTTAAATGATTCTTCAAAAAATTATTTTTCGGATTTTATTCCGTAAAAAAACGTTACAGAAAACACCTAGAAAATTTCAAATTTTCCCTAAAAAATTCAGTGCAGGTCGATTTAAGAGATTTTTCAAAAATAATCATATCAGTAGATAGGGTATAATATAGAGAAGCTTTATGAATAACTTAAAATCCGGGAAACTCAATATTCAACGAGAAAAACGCTTAACGAATCTCACTTTTGGTGTAAATATCACAAAAAATTGAGAGGGCTTTCTGGTCGGAAGCCTCCCTTAACGTGCTTTATTTTTTCTTTTTTATAATAATACATATTATTATATAATTAACATATTCATAATGTTTCACCCTTTCAAAAATTGTTATAGACCGAAAATAGATTTTTTCGGTTTTCTCTTCAAATAATTGAAAGAATGATACTATTATAGGTTTATTATATTATATAGCATATAATCATGCTATAGCCGAAAATTATAAGTTTTGAGAAGATTGAATATAACACAAATAAATTTGAATGTAAGTTAAATTGCTTGTTGTTTTTAATAGCTATTTAATGAGAAATCCAATATTGCAAAATTCAAATTGAATGATTGAAAGAACAGAAAAAGTCATTCTTTTCAATTTCGAATTTGTTTCATTGTATTTATAATTATATGGCAAATAAGATATTTAAACTTGATTTTTGAAGGAAAATTCACAAAATTGAATAAATTCAAATAATTTTTATTCAAAAATAAACTAGTTATTTGAGTTTAATACTAATTATCTATTCAAACTACAAAGTTTGTAATTTAAAATATTTTGTGAGATCAGCTTGAATTAATTCAAGGTTCTTTTCAATTAATATTAATGACCATATTACGCATTTTCGAACATTCTAAACCAAATATATAAAAATGGGAGACGAATGTTAAATTTGCTAGACATGGGGGAGTTGTCTGCAAAGTTTTAGCTCTTATCTCTAACAAAAAATTAATTTTTAAAAAAATGACCGAATACGTTTCACAGCGAGAAAAAAATAAAAGGCAAGATAGAATTTTCTAGACATAAAGAAGTTGTTTACCGAGTTTTAGCTCTTATCTCTAACAAAAAATTAATTTTTAAAAAAATGACCGAATACGTTTCACAGCGAGAAAAAAATAAAACTGTACACTGATTTTCATTTTCATTTCCAGTCACTTTACTTATTATTTTTTCTTTTTTTTCATTTTAATTATAAATTATTTCGTATTACGTTTATTTACGTTACCATTTTCTTTATTCTTTTGAATTCCATACTAGACACTTATAGAATATTTTGATTGTTAACGTACTTCATTAGAATGAATCCTTACAAAGGGTATGTCGATCGAATTTACCTAATTGGTATTTCCAATCAGATTGAAGAAGGTAAAATGACATGGGAAGAAGCTTGCACCCATGTTCCCATCGCCCCAACCCTTCAATCAAATGATTTCAAATATTTAGATGTTTCAAAATCTTTTTTACAAAATCAATTTAGCTTACAGAATATCCCATTGCCTAAAGGCAAGAAAGGTCGTAGGGTCAATCCCTACGACCAAATCAAAGCTCTTGCTGTGATACATGACCACTGGGCCTTTCCCTGTGGTCAAACAAAACAATGGAAACGTTTGAAATTACACAAATTGATGTATCTTATAGAGAAGTACGCAGATACTTCAAAGAAAATCATTTCACCAAGACGCGATTAGAGCATGCCGGGCCAGAAACAGCAGTAAGATATTGGGCGCTTTCACCCAATCTTATCTGGCACGCAGATGTTCATTATTTTAGGGGTGTTCGTGGCCAATATATTTATGGCATAATCGACGATTTTAGCCGCAAAGTCCTAGCGTATATACAAATACCAGATATGCTGGCAGCGACGACAGCGAACGTTGCGGCTTCCGCCTTCATTGAATTTGGCGCCCCTTATTGTTTCTGGACCGACAACGGTTCAGAAAATAGGGGCGCCTTTCAAGATCTACTTGATCTTTGGGGCGTCCAATGGCGGCATACAGACTCTCATTCTCCCTACCAAAATGGGAAGATTGAGAGATTCTGGCCGCCATTGGAGCGCTGCCAAAGCATTCAGGCTATTCCTGCCTTTATTTGGGAGTACAATAATAAACACACCGCATGAAGATCTCCCAATTAATCCATTAACCGGAACAAATTACACGCCAAATCAAATGTATCAGCTGAAACCGAAATACACAATGCAGATACAGAAAGGTTGTGGCAAATATGGGATACAGATACAGGCATGACCGCTGTTGACACATTCACAGCGTAATAATAAACATAATTTTTTAATTTCATTTTTAACAAGTTTTTTTAAATGTATGTAATGAATAATTCATTAGAATATGATAATGCACATTGTAACAGAATAGAACAATCACCAAAATTTTTTTGAAATTAAAAAATAAAAGTAAAAGTATAAAGTAATCTAACCGAAAAAGATATTTAAAAGAATTTTGGAAAAAACAGAATAAGGATAATGATATTATTTTAGATACACAATCGATGTATTGAAGAATAATCCGGTAAATGATGATATAAAATTAGATTATTTTACAAGTAGCTAAAAGAATAAAACTATAATATAAAATAAATGAAGTTTAATGAAACAATAAAGGTTAAATAAATAATAAAGATTTTTATTTTATATCAGTATTGAGAAGAAGTAACAGCTGACACTTGGAAGACAACTTCTTTATGTCTAGAAAATTCTATCTTGCCTTTTTTTTTTTCTCGCTGTGAAACGTATTCGGTCATTTTTTTAAAAATTAATTTTTGTTAGAGATAAGAGCTAAAACTCGGTAAACAACTTCTTTATGTCTAGAAAATTCTATCTTGCCTTTTATTTTTTTCTCGCTGTGAAACGTATTCGGTCATTTTTTTAAAAATTAATTTTTTGTTAGAGATAAGAGCTAAAACTTTGCAGACAACTCCCCCATGTCTAGCAAATTTAACATTCGTCTCCCATTTTTATATATTTGGTTTAGAATGTTCGAAAATGCGTAATATGGTCATTAATATTAATTGAAAAGAACCTTGAATTAATTCAAGCTGATCTCACAAAATATTTTAAATTACAAACTTTGTAGTTTGAATAGATAATTAGTATTAAACTCAAATAACTAGTTTATTTTTGAATAAAAATTATTTGAATTTATTCAATTTTGTGAATTTTCCTTCAAAAATCAAGTTTAAATATCTTATTTGCCATATAATTATAAATACAATGAAACAAATTCGAAATTGAAAAGAATGACTTTTTCTGTTCTTTCAATCATTCAATTTGAATTTTGCAATATTGGATTTCTCATTAAATAGCTATTAAAAACAACAAGCAATTTAACTTACATTCAAATTTATTTGTGTTATATTCAATCTTCTCAAAACTTATAATTTTCGGCTATAGCATGATTATATGCTATATAATATAATAAACCTATAATAGTATCATTCTTTCAATTATTTGAAGAGAAAACCGAAAAAATCTATTTTCGGTCTATAACACACCCTTTCAAAAATATAATCCTCCTCCTCTCAAATAAACGTACATACGGGTGGCCTCTTTTTTCAAAAAATTAAAATTTGAAATTTTGGGCTCAAATATTAGAGATTTTTTCAACCTTCAACGATATATGTTGTCTATATCAGACCTCCTTTCTTTTTGATACTTAACATTGTTCCTAAATCTTAGCCGTTAAGGCTGTTCTGAAAATATTTTTTTTCGAAAAAATTCAAAAAAATTCTTAAAATTCAAAAATCCCTTAATTCCTGAGGATTTTGGAAAAAAGTTTTTACATGAACATGTTTATATTATATGAAGTATATTGATAAGGTAAAAATCAAATTTTATTGCATATTCATCGAGAAAATAAACTAACGAATCCCTCAAAATTGAGAGGGTAATCCTCCTCCTCTCAAATAAACGTACATACGGGTGCACCCTTAATTCCTGAGGATTTTGGAAAAAAGTTTTTACATGAACATGTGTATATTATATGAAGTATATTGATAAGGTAAAAATCAAATTTTATTGCATATTCATCGAGAAAATAAACTAACGAATCCCTCAAAATTGAGAGGGTAATCCTCCTCCTCTCAAATAAACGTACATATTGGGGCACCCTTAAGCATGACGATAAAAAAATCAATCGCTTGCTTTCCAAAGAGAAAAAGAATATAAATGACTGAGGATCCTTTAAAGCAAGCTGACGGAGACAACAGAGGACTTGGGGAGGTTCTTCACTCTGTACTTTCTACGTGCGAAAGAGAGCTCCAGAGTGTCATTTCTCCAACAGTCCGTATGTCCACCAAAAAGAACGTAATGCATTCACTCCTAAAGACTGAGATCCTTCTAGCCAGGTTTTTAGTCCTATATAGATGGGTTAAAAAATCAGAAACGACAAAAATTTATAATCAAATTAAGAATGCATTTGAAGAAAACACGCAAAAAGTCAGAAAGAAATATCGGCAAATCAGAAATGCAATTAAAACAGACAGTGATCTCAAAACATTTGAATTTATTCCACAAGTTCAGCCAATTGAAGAGATTGTCTTCAACACATCGCCTCGAAACATATATCTCTGTCTTTTGCAACAGAAAATTCCATCAGAAATTACTAGTATTTCGTTAAAAAATAAAACGATTTTTGTTACTTCAAATGGCTATTATAACTACTCGGTAAAGATCTCACATAACGGCGGATTACATTTCTCTTCATTAAACCTTCTATTTCCAACCACAGAAAAATTTTCAACAAAAATTTTGTTAATTTTATCACAAATCGTTGAAAAAAGCGAATCATTATTCTACGATATTCATACATGGCTCAAGCGCTTATATACTATCGGTCAATTCGTTCTAATGTGCGAAAAATTGAAAAAACATGAAAAAATTTTCGGATATTCTTTACGACAATCTGACGGCTCCGTTCATATCATATTTGGAGCCAATGTAGATTACCAAGTCGAGTTTAATATGTCTCCAACCGATTGCGGAATCTGCATTTTCTCATCTAAGCCATTAGAACGACCAGACAAGACAAAATCGTTTTACAAAGCTATATTCGCGAACTCATATCCGGATATAGTCCCAATTCTCTCAGAAATGAGGGATATTGCTCATTATTCAATCATATCATCTGTATCTAACAGACTTTCACATGCTTTCGTTGTTGCAGGGTTCCCAAGCTTCATGTGCGAATGTACACGTACAGAGATAGTCGTAAAACTCAACGGAAGAGACTTTTGTCGCGTATTTTTGTCTCGTTTCGATTCCAACGTCGAAACCGAAATTTTTGACGATATCGGAGTGTCAGGACCAGAGCTTGTCCATTGCCTGTCATGTGACGAGTGCGAGAGAATCTCTATTTCCCATTCTTTGTATTTAGTTTCAGTTGTAAGAGATCTGTTGAATTTAGTTGAATTTCGAATCGCGCAATCGTTTGCACCACCTATTCCTGTTAAATCTGTGCAGCCAAGAGCGATTCGGTTCAGTTTTGCTCCAGATTTTGTCATCAAATTATCAGATACACGTGGCCGACCACGTTTGGATGTTATTTCAAACGACGGAGTGGTCACATCCACAAATGAGATGATATTGTTGAACGAAACAAAGCATTTGTTCGATACTCGAAACAAATTATTAAATGCAGTGCTTTCTGCAAAGCCAGCTGTTGTTATTCTGCAACTACAGAAGTTCTTGTTCAACGAAGGTATCGAAAGTCATGCAGAAAATAACAAAATCCACTTCCAAATTCAACCATTTGAATGTGTTGAGTTTAGATGCGATATGACCGGCTACTGGACCTTGTTCTTTGTTAAGCCATTGCCACTCCATGATGACGCAACGGTCTGCATCCATGGAAATGGATTTTCGTCAGATTTCTGTCAATGGCTCAAAAGATTGATCACAGTTATTGGTCTAGAGCTCGGTTTAGTATCACAATTAGAGAGTATATCCATGATGAAGAATATTATCTCCAAATTTTGCACAGAAAACAAACTTCAATTTTCCAATCTCTTCCAGAACACGACGCGAAGGTTGAACCTTACAGTAAACAACGTACAGTTCATAGAAAAGAAGAGAAACGTCGAACATTTCAAATTAGTCGGGTATCGCCATGCTCATCTTTCGTTTGAGACACTTTTGAACACTTTCGACCTTTTCTCTACACGTATTGATAATTCCATGTACTTAACTCCGAGTTTGGTGACGATTCATAAAGCATTTGCTGATCGGCCAAATTGGTCGATTCAAATGCACGAGCAATTCAAAGTCTTGTTGATTTTTATGAGAAGGCACATGATGAAGATTAATTTTAACAGTTTTATTAATCTCCACGTGCAAATTAGCGTTACAGATGAAGATTTGCAGATTCCGATGCATAAATTTGTTTACCAGCACACGATAACTATTATGCAGATTGAAGATATGCGGAAGTCTGTTGAAGAGTTCTTTGCCTTGCTTTATTGTCTGGAAAAATATGGTTTTCAAAAACATGAAAATTACAAAACCGAAATTTCCAGGAAAGGTCAAGTTAAGAAAGAACCAATGATCAGATATCTTCCCCAAACATTCGGAGAACTCACAGTGAATGTCCTTATCACTACAAAAGGTCCACAATTCGAGTTTCAAGGTAGACCATCTGATGATGCCAACAAATTCATGAATTTGCTGGGAGATGGTATGCAAGGATTCTTGTTTAAGCGTTTAATTGGCTTTTACATGATAGATCCTCAGCTTGGATTCGATATTTCGATCTGGATTCCAAAAATTATGAAAACTCAGAAGTTTGATTGCGAGGAAAGCCTCAAAACAATTAAACCCGACTTGCAGACAAAGATATTCAGAATGAAAATCATCAAAATCGAAGATCCTTCGTTTATTGGAGTCGAAATTTCAAAACAAAATGATGTCTTGCGCTTAATTTGTGTCTATAACGGTAACCAAGTTGAGCAATTCTCTGAATTTAGAACTCTGACTAATTTTATTAATGCTTTGTAATTATTTTTTTATATTTTTATTTTGTTTTGTATTTTATTATATATAGAAAAAACATTTTGATGTAAAAATATTTTTGATATTATTCTGTTTAATTTAAAAATACAAATTTTTTTAATTCACAATTTTTATTGAGATGGTCTTGTGTATCTTTTTTCGGGTTATAGTTTTGATTTGCAGATCTGATATAGTATTATGATTTGTCATTAATTGGCAAGATAAAATATATTTAAAAGATATAATAGTCAAATAGAGATTTGTTTCATTATATTTCCAGAATGGAATGCTAAACACAGAGATACTCGTGAATGTTTCATGCCCAAATTTGATTCAGATTCTTGTCAATAAATTTCTGGATGAATATCTTATTTAATCGATCCCACCTTTGCTATTGCGATTTCATATCTATGAACTTGATCAAAATTCACAAATTATTTCCGAAATCTACGTAATTATTGATTTCCAGATGAATAACATAGCACTTTTTCTTCCAATGAGTTTTAAATACAATTTATATTCTAAAATGCAAAATACGACTTATAAATTTTTTCATGTATATGCGATATGTTAAAGACATGCATCCAAATAGTTACGGTGAACTACGAAGTGAATACAAATACTACATAGATTTATATATTGCATTGTATCAGCTGAAAACTGAAAAAGAAGAAGAATTAAACTCAATTTACAAAATGATCAAAACAGAAATGATTGACTCAAAGAAATATTCCGCTAAAAATATTACAAGAGACATTTTAAATATCATTCCGTATAATAATCACTATACAAAGTCATATTTATTTCTTGCCAAACAATTCTGTGATGATTATCATGTCGAAAAGATCAGCAAAGTTATAAACATTTCTAACTACTTGTTCTATCAAGAATATGGAATTAAATTAAGCGATATTGATGATTTCGATAAAAATAAACCAAAAAATCTAAACATTCATACAGAAGATACAATTTACAGTGCAATTATGGATAATGACAAAGAAAGATTCATATCATTCATAGAACGAGAAGGATTTGATAAAGATAAAAAACTTGACAGCGATTTATATCCCTTAATTAATGCATCATTACTTGAATTATGCTGTTATCATGGAGCAGTTGGTTGCTTCAAGTTATTAAGAGCGAAATTTAACTCAAAAATAACTCGAAATTGTCTAAATTTATCATTTTTAGGAAGAAATCCAGAGATCATGAATGAATGTTTGAAATATCAACAACCTGATGGAGAAAGCATGAAATATGCAATTATTTCACACAACATTGATTTTGTTACATTCTTGATGAATAAATATGATTTAATAATCGATTTATATGATTGTGAAAGTTATAATAATCTTGATTCTTTTTTGGTTTATTACGATCAAATGCATGATTTAAACAGCTGCTTTGTTAAATCGGCATGTTTCAATATACCATCCTTATGCAAATATTTTCTGTCACATGGTGCAAATATCGATGTAAAAAATATGATTGGAGAAACTGCTCTTCATATTGCAGCAATAAATAATAGTAAAGAAACAGCAGAACTTCTTATAAAAAATGGTGCAGATATCTATATAAAAGATATGTATTGTGAAACCGCTCTTTATTATGCAGTAATAAATAATTGTAAAGAAACAGTAGAACTTCTTATTACGAATGGTGCGAATGTCAATAATAAGAATAAAAATGGACATATTACTCTTCATGATGCAGCACTAAGAAAATATAAAGAAATTGTCGAGCTTCTTATTTCACATGGTGCAAATGCCAATGAGAAAGATAATGATGGGAAAACAGCTCTTCATATTGCAGCAACAAATAATTGTAAAGAAATAGCGGAACTTCTTATTACAAATGGTATAAATATCAATGAAAAAGATAAATATGGATCTATTGCTCTTCATAATGCAGCAGTAAGAAATAATAAAGAAATTGCCAAGCTTCTTATTTCACATGGTATAAATATCAATGAAAAAGATAATGATGGAAAAACCGCTCTTCATTATGCAGTAATAAATAATTGTAAAGAAATAGCCGAACTCCTTATTTCACATGATGCAAATATCAATGAAAAACAGAAAAAATGAACATCTAAAGTGTAAACGATAAAAAAACTGATGATTACGACTGTCTGGTTAAATTTAATGTAGTCAAAGGTTCAAAAGCTGTCATGTAATTGTTTTTTAATAATATAAACTCTTATTTCAGAAACCGAGTCTCAAAGTTTTAGATGCATTTTCAATTGATTTTGCGAAATATTTTGGCCTTAAATACTATGAAGCAGAATATAATTACATCAAAATAGCTGTACTTATTCTTTCCTATGATCAAATTTCAGTTAAACAAAAATAAAGTTGGATAAATTGCTCTTCATTGCGCAGCATTATTTCACATGATGCAAATATCAATGATTAAAATGATGCTGGAAGAACAGTTATTATAATCGTATTTTTTTCCAAAATATTTGTTCAGAAGGTGAAACATGTTATTCTGTCTTGGAACTTTAAATGATGTATCAAAAAGATATAACACACAAAAAAAAAAATTAAATAATTAAATAATTAATAAAAAAATAAACAATCTATCTTCTTTTATAAATGCATGGAGCAAGAGTTAGATCACCTGATACATTTTTAGGTGCTCCTTTCTTGAATTCAAACCATGTAAAATGAGTTGTCAAATCTTTCTTCTTTGTAAGGTCAAATCCTATGGCGCAGATGCCATTTGCGAATTTGTCAGCATTTTCTATTCTTGAAGTAACTTCTACAACTAATAATTTGCCATTTGGCTTAAGTATTCTATTTGCTTCTCTAATGAAATCTGAAACATTTGTTCCCATCAATGATAGTACAAATACAACAACATCGACTGATTTATCCTCCAAAGGAGTGTGGCTCATGTCACATTGAGTAACTCTGGAGTTTCTGGCTTTAAAATCAAATGAATGAACTGTATTAGGTACTGTTGCAGCAATTTTAGCATCTCCACATCCCATATCTGCAATGACAGCTGTTTTTGGAATTGAATTTTTGATCCAATCAATAACAGCATCAACCGGTACAATGGGCCATGTTTTAGCCTGTATTTGGAATCCGTCGTGCATGGTGTTGAAATACTGTGGCTGCTTGTCGAAGAATTCTTTTGCTTCTGTACTTGTGCATGTATATAATTTCTCATTTAACATGCGGAACTTAGAGCCTTCGAGCTGTTGTCTATCATTGAGTGCCTTTTTTGGTGCTTTCTTAAAGTGTTCCTTTGACTTTTTGTGCAAATTCTTAGACATAATGTCTCCCCACTTTATTTTGTGTACTCTCCCTTTAAATCTTTGTTTAATATAATTCATACATAAATCTGTTCAGAATGGCAGGCTTCTGTTGTTATTTGTCATGTTTTTGAAATCCATTCAACGTTGAGCTTTATATGGCAAAAAATTTAAAAATAATGTTTGAATATTCCATAATTTTTGGCATGTTCATTCTTATCAGTAAGTAATATGTTTATCAATGGTATATCTCAAATACAAATCTAAAAAAAATATACTCAATTTAGAAAATAACAGGACATTATTTATAACATATGAATGATTAATTGTTTCATTCCAAGGTAATACTAATGTTAGGATGAAAGAGTAAACAGTTTGTAGATTTGAAAATTAACGATATTCATTTGTAACTAGAGCGTTTACCTTCGCGATAAGCTTGCTCAATTTTAGCAATGGCTGCTTCATTTGCATCAATTTTGTTTCTAATTGTGCCGAATTGTAAAGAAAGATTCGTAATCATAATATTAGCTTGATTGAGCATTTCATTCAGATCACCTGACTTAACAGCTGCATCAACGGCAGCTTTATTGATAGGTGTAACAGTAATTGTGGCTGGGCGTTTTGCAAGAGTACTTTGAACTAAAATATCGAGTTCTCTACTTCTTTGATTCATTTGATTTCTATTTGCTGATATTCCGCTGTAATTACTTGACATTGAAATTTGCGAGGCGCTATCAAAAGCTTCTGGTTGAGCAACATTCTTACCAGATCTTGCCATTGGCTCTGGCTCATCATCAAATGACTCTTCTTCAAACTCTTGAAAAGATTTCTGAGACATTTCTAATAATTTTAAGTAAAAAAATGACGTTTAAAATTTCAAATTTCTTGAATTTTCATGTTATATCGGCGTGACGCACCACTAGATGATAAAGAAAGTTATAATGTGATTATCTGTATGCATTGTTAGCTATAATAAAGTTGAGAATTGATCAAAAATGGTTAATTTTTGTGAAAAACAGTGAAATGAAGAATTATGTCGTCACATTCAAGTTGATTCATCAACTTCTTTTCACTTTAAGGGTGCGCCCGGGAGGATCATGTAAACTTCAGAATTTAGAACCTTAATTTTTAAGCAATAACTTGGTACCTAAATAGGTAGGAAAACTCTAAAAATATCAAAAAATACAATTTGGCTCCATAATAATCCTGTCATGGTGGCTGTTTGTATCCCCTAGTATTTTCCTCTTGAATCTCTTTTTCTGTCGAAATTAAATTCAAATCTCAGAAGTAGAAGTGAATAATCGACTTATTACTGCTATTATACGAATAAATAAATTCATTATATTATTTTTATTTACATAATATCTGTTTGAAGTCCATAATTCTATAAATTTTTCTTCAAAAACATTACAATCTTGATAGTTTTGATACTGTTTAATAGGTTTTTGGCACCTTATTTAGTATTTACTACGTATAGAGTCGATCTGAACTTAATTTTCGGAAATTTAAAATATTTATTATAAGTAAAATCTGATTTGAAATTTATGTTTAACTACTCATATCTTTAGGGCTGTACAAGATTTAAAAAAACATTGCCGGGTTACCGTAGAGGCCTAAAAAAATCGCGCCTCGGCGGCAAGCCGCCTCGGCATTAATAATGCGCATCTAAATTTTTATATGTCCTTCTTTCTTTTATTTTTCCCTTCCCTTTCTTTTCTTTTTCTTTTTTTTCCCTCCTCTTGCTCTCATTTACCTTTTTTTCCTTTTCTCATCATTTTTCAAAATTTTAAATTTTTATCAAAAATCTTGCCTATAAAAGCAGACTATGGAACCTTTTAATGCCTCTTAATCAATATTATACAGCATAAAGCATATTAAATGAAAGTAATTACGTATAAATTTATTTTATTATCTTATTTATTAATTCTTTAGCATGTATTGTTTAATATTAACTTTTCTGTACATTAAATATGATATCTCCAAAGTATGAATGCCTTGTAACGAAACGAAAACTTAATTTTATGTTGAATATTTGTCGCAAACATTAGATTATTAAAATATATGTTGAATATCCCTTAGTATGAGACTTCATGACTCTTGTAGTCTAACGTGAGCTTTGGATTGCAAGCTCTGTGGTTAACGAACATAAATTAACTGTAAAGTTTTCAAAATTTTTCATCGTTTCTATCAGCATCTATTTTTCCTTTAAAATAATATATTTGTATGAATACAATATTTAGTAATTTTTTTATTTCCCATAATTTCATTCAAAATTTCAGAAAAAATTAATTTCTATTCAATATTATTTCAGCTTCAAAACACTTCATTCTTATAGATGTTGATTCACTAAAGTGTGATACTCAATGTCTTATTTCAATGAAAATTGTTCTGCAAATTTATTTCACTTTTGACCTCACTTTTTCCGTAATTCAATTTTTTACTTTTAATATTTTAGATCTTCATAATATCATTTGAAAAATTAACCATATAAAAAAATCAAGTTAACAATTCACTTTTTCCGTAATTCAAAAATCAAAAATATAAATAATATATCTTTTTATCAAATATTATTATTATATTCTATGAAAAATGAGGTCCGGAAATTTTGCGGATTCCCGTAACTCAATTTTACGGAAAAAGTGCAGTAAACTATTCAAAATACGGAAAAATTGGTGTAAACTAATGATTTTACGGTAAAATCACGGAAAGTCCCGGAAGAATATATGTGCCTATATGAAATTATACAAAAATGAATCAAACGCATTTTAAAAGATTGTTCTTGTATTATAAATGCTATTCGCAGATTTATTAGTTGAAGAAAATTACCAAATTTTTGCCGATTTACAAAAAATGATTTACAAAGCATATTTTTATAAGGCTTTAAAAATCTTTAAAATGTGACCGGTGACGGAAATCCATGGTAACCAACCGCGGTTCCCGTTTGGAATGCCATACATATCTTGCATTATCCTGAGTAGCTTTTGTAAAAATTCATCAAAAAGGATTTTAACGTGCTTTAATTTTTATTTTTAAAAATAATGCATACTATTATATAACTAGCATATTTACAAATTTTAGTGCTTTCAAAAATTTAATCCTCCTCCTCTCAAATAAACGTACATCCGGGTGGCCTGTTTTTTGCAAAAAATAAAATTTCATTTTTTATGCTTAAAAAGTCAGAATTTTTATTTGCTTCTGGGATATATGATGGCTATATCAGATGCCCATTCTTTTTGATACTCAACATTAAACATAAAACTTAGCCGTTAAGGCTCTTCTGAAAATATTTTTTTTCCCGAAAAATTTTCGAAAAAAATCAAAAAATTTAAAAATCCCCGAATCTGCAGGGATTTTAAAAAATTCTTTTAGTAAAACTTAAGGATATTGTATCAGATATATTGGTATGGGCAAATTCAATTTTAATCCAATATTCATCGAGATATTAAGTTAACGAAGCTTTCAAAATTGAGAGGGTAATCCTCCTCCTCTCAAATAAACGTACATGCGGGTGCACCCTTAATAATTCTTTGAAGGGTGCACTTACCACTTTCTGACATTCTCTCAATTTTTTTTGACACACAAGATTTATATCGCAATTTTCCAGGTTCAAAATTTAACATTTTTGGCCGGGAGAAAGTAAATATAACTCACTATATAGTACCTAATATGGTTGCTATACATTTCTGCTATTAAAATAAAGATACATTGATTTTTTCATGTATTTAATCACATCACAAGTATAAAAAAAAAAGTAATTAAGTATATTTATATATTTAATTAGTATAAACGAAATAATCATCATTGCTATAAAGTAACTTCATAGCTGCATCTGCTTTACGCTTGATAACATCAGCATACTGTGCAGTGTTTTGGATAAGAATAACATCAGTCATGTTCCAAGAAGTGACATTTCCGGTCATCCACTCATTCAATGCTACAATGTAGTTTATTGGCTTGAATGGTACAGCCTGGAATGCTTGGTCAGTTGTTGTGAGCTCTCTTCGGCCGGCATAAAAAACAGATGGCGTCCAAACACGATCAACGATAGAAAGAAATGTCGTATTTGATTTTGTATTTTTGGCTATCCATAATCCTGTTTCTTTGGCCGTATTGTCAGGAAATACTTCAATTGTTTGATCCAAACGATGGATGTAGCCAACAACGCCAGATAAGCAACTTGAAGCAATAATAAGTACAATGAGCATGCCAATGGCCCCTTGTTTTGACTTCTTCTTTGAGATGAAAGTTAAATCCATGAAACCACCTGCAAAGAAAGAAGCAAGAACTGGATATACTGATGTTATAACAGCAAAGAAGTTAAATCTGTGCGATTCTTGAAGATTTACGAAGAGAATTGTGATTAATGAAGCAATTGCAGAAATTGGAGCGATTTTCTTCGTAAATAGATATCCAAGTATGCAGCCAATAGGTATTATACCAAAGATATTCCATAAATATCCGATTATTGGCTGGTAAGGCCAATGATTCGAATACATTACTCCAAAAGTGACATGAATCTTCTGTATATAGAGTAACAATGCAGCAACAACAGCAAAGAAAGCTCTTATATGTATTTTCTGCCATTTGTAAAAGAGATATACGAAGAATAAAACGGCGGCGCTTGGCGGACGGAGGAAAATAACAATCCAAGCGATTATTCCGGCCGAAAAGTCGAGGTTGAACTCGAGAAAAGAGTAAACTAATGATGATAATGCTAAACATAGTAAACAAAGTCGAGAAGTTAAGAGACAATGGAGCATTTCATGGCCCCATGGCTGATACTGACCTAATCCTGTATTGAATCTGTATTCAATCGATGAAGAAAGACGAGAATTGTTATCTAACGCGTTAACTATTGCGTATCCGCCTAAGAAGAATACAATAGGTGTTGATAGGACAGCTGCTATATGGCTATCGAACACTTTTAGTGTATATGAATAAACAATTATGATAATCGAGAAAGTAAGTATGGAAGTTAATACGAATATCACCTGATTCACTTCTAAATCTGAATCTAAGAGCAATGCTTCGTAAACACATGGTAAATATTCAGAGTGTAATGTAGAATTAATAACAATTGGATTTGGAATTCCAAATTCTAGCTTTAATAATGATGATAATTTAAATGGTGATGCGAATCTATTATATCCTCTATGGAAAGATTGTATGGCAGCCAGCTCCAACCACATATCATTTTCCGAAGTTGAAATCCATTCGTTTTCTTTCGAGTGATAGAAGGCGATCTTGTAAGAGTATATCATAGCAAATGCAAATATTGAAATGAATATAAATGAAACGAGTTTTTTGATTTGAATATTTTTATTAAATTTAAAAGATGAGAGGAAATGTAATCTTGTTGAAATCAATGTCGCGATAAATAGCTGTATAACACCATTTTTCCTGTTGCATCCGAAGAATGGATTAAGAATTAAGGTAGTTATTGATAAAAATACCATTCCAACTGGAAAAGAAGCTCCAATTAACAAAATATTAGGAAGTCTATATCTTCCAAGGAAATTTGTTAACTGAAATCCTAGGATTGCTGTTGTGGTTAAGTAAAATATAAGCTAAAAACGAAAACATCAATTAATCAAAAATTGTTAAGAAATGAAACGAAAAAGAATGTCATATGTAAGAGAGTTTAGATTTTTCATTTGTTTTGTGAAGTTAAGGGTGCACACGAGAGGATCATGTAAACTTCAGAATTTAGAACCTTATTTTTAGGCATTATCTTGGCTACCTATTTAGGCTCGAAAAGCAAAAAATATCAAAAAATACAACTTGACTCCATTATGACCCTTTCATGGAGGTAGTTTTTATCCGCTAGTATTTTCCCTTTGAATCTCTTTACAATTCGAAATCAAATTCAAAACTCAGTAGAAGAAAGGAAGAATCGACTTACTACGGTTGTAATACGAATAAATACATATATTTAATTATTTTTATTTACATAATAATTGTTTGAAGCTCATATTCCAACAAATTTTTAAATAAAAACATTAAAATGTTGAAAATGTTCATATATTTTAATAGGGTTTTGGCACTTTATTGAGGAATTACTACATACATAGTCGAACTGAACTTGATATTTTGAAATTTAAATTATTTATCAAAATTAAAATTTAACTTGAAATTTATAATTATTTAGTCATATTTTGCATAATTCTAAGTAGATTTTGTAAAAAATCAAGAAAGAAAAATTTTAGCGTGCTTTATTTTTTCTTTTTTATAATAATACATATTATTATATAATTAACATATTCATAATGTTTCACCCTTTCAAAAATATAATCCTCCTCCTCTCAAATAAACGTACATACGGGTGGCCTCTTTTTTCAAAAAATTAAAATTTGAAATTTTGGGCTCAAATATTAGAGATTTTTTCAACCTTCAACGATATATGTTGTCTATATCAGACCTCCTTTCTTTTTGATACTTAACATTGTTCCTAAATCTTAGCCGTTAAGGCTGTTCTGAAAATATTTTTTTTCGAAAAAATTCAAAAAAAAATTCTTAAAATTCAAAAATCCCTTAAGGGTCCACTGTAAAAATTGAAAGTCTCTCAAAATTGAGAGGCGATTTGCAAATAATTGTTATCGTCTTTTTTCGAAAATCCACTTTTCCTAGTGTTCTGATTAATATTTTGTGAATGTAACAATGAAGTATATGTTTTAATAAGATGATAATATATTCTATCACTTCAAATCACATAAAAATTGCAAAATCAGCGAGTTTTATAAGAACATGATTTTTTCCTATTTTTTTGCTTCTGGATGCGTGTTTTGAAAAATAGATATTTTCGAATTTTGATTTTATAAAAAGGATGAATTTTATATTAGGAATTTTTTGACCTATTTCCAATCATGAATTCCTAAGTTTTTCTAGGAATTAAATTGAGAAGAAATTAGGAAATTCGCTTTAATGCCATTACAAATTAATATTATGATGCATAATATATATATTTATTGAGGCTAATGTCGTAATATCGTGCATTTTATAAAAAATTCAAAGAATTGACAATTGGATAGCACAAATTTAATTCTCCAGACAAAGTATTATTGTTTTTATATTCAAAACATTATCCTTAGTTTTGAAATGTTGGCAAAAATTTTTCGTGTTATTTTTTGTGTTTCAGCATAAATTATGTATTTACTTATGAAAGATAAGCATTTTATTCATTATCATAAAGATATACCATAACAAATTGATAACATTTTAAAAAAGTGTATTTTAGTGGGCATTATTCTGGCCAATGCCCATTTTTAAACGATTTAATATTGACCATATCAATAGCCGACTCAATGTAAAAATTTAGATATTATTTTTTTCATTATTCAAACTTTGATAAATTTTAGTATAATAAATGATTTTGTTTCGTGTATGATACAGAAATGAAAAGCTTAATTAATATCATTTTGCATTTTTTCAAGAATGTTAGAGTACATCTACAATAAAAAATCGGATTCGAATTGCGATACTGCATCAAATTGTTGCACATCTGATAAGGATCTCAAAAGAGTAAAGTTAATTTTTTTGTGTTTTTTTTAAAACACCATCTTGAGCAATATTTTTGGGATGACGATAGGCCTTATTTGGCCTTACAGTGGACCCTTAATTCTTGAGGATTTTGGAAAAAAGTTTTTACATGAACATGTGTATATTATATGAAATATATTGATAAGGTAAAAATCAAATTTTATTGCATATTCATCGAGAAAATAAACTAACGAATCCCTCAAAATTGAGAGGGTAATCCACCTCCTCTCAAATAAACGTACATACGGGTGCACCCTTAAGGATACCCTTACGTGTCAGATTTTTTGCGCATACGAAGAAGTCATGCTAGACATGAGCTATAAACCTGAAATTTTAGCAACATATTTAAAACTTTTTAAACTACAATACACTTTAATATTCAAGAACAAAAATATTCTTTTTAGAAATTACATAATTATTTTATGTGAAATCTATATAAAAACATATTTTGCGAGCGTAACTTTTTTCTTTATAAGCACCTTATATGACTGATAAACTGTGAAGGCACATAATTGTTAATTCATAGAGTTGATATGTTTCCAAAATTGAGAGGAAATTTGAAAATTGAATACCCTTTCAATTCAATTTTCAAAAGATATCAGCTCCTTCAATAATTGAAGGACGATTTTGATCATTTGCTCTTAAAACAAGTATGCCATGGAGAAAAAAGTTACGCTCGCAAATCTGAAATATAACTATCATATAAAAAAATTAAATTTCTAATTTTTTACTCTATAGATATTATTGGCCACTTGTGTAATGCATAAAAGTTTATGTCATATGCATACATTTGGAAGTATGGGAGACGAGGGAAATTACTTCTATGAGGCACTAGGATTTTTAAAAATTTCTCTATCGGACTCACCATTCAATTTCTCGAAAATTAAAAAAAATCAATGGGGAGAAGCTTCCTAAACTTTTTAATCCCATAAATATGGTCATTATCTGGAATAAAGAGTTAAGCGTCATATGTCACTTTTTGTACTAAGGAAACATCGACTTTATGCGTTATGACTTTTCGATGAGGAAACAAGTGTTCACGTATTATAAACTTCCTTATTCCAATAAACCGGCCCTAAACATAATTAATTTTAAGCATTATAATGGTCTCTTTTCTATGATAACCAAATCAATTTGGTTATCATAGAAAAGCACCAAAAACTGGAATAGGAATAGCCGCGTTAAAACAGGAATAGGCAATATGGAAACAAGGGTAGACTCAAACTCATACTCAAGGCAAGACTGATACAAGAATTACAACAAAATTTTACAAAATCTATTATTTATCTCAATTTAATGGCAGGTTTTAGTACCCGAAGAGTTTGCATTCTACTTTTTGCTCTTATTTTACAAAAATATTCTAAAAATTTGTAACTTCTTTTATAATATAATACTTTTTTTCAAATTTACTTTCCAAACGTTAATGTCTTGTTACGGCTATATCTTTGTACGGGGAAATAAAGAAATTTTATTATGCTATTATATTATTTTTTTTAAATCAATATCTAATCAATAGTAAGTTAGATTTTTTATTAAAAGAGCAAATAAAGATACGATCGAGCAATAGTTTATTTTAAATCTCAATATTATAAAATAAATGTTCAAAATTTTTAAGTAATAATACTAAATACTTAAATAAGTAAAAGCACACAAGAAAAATATTCACTAACTTAAGAAAAAATCATATATTTAGAGAATTATCCCTTATAATAAGATTAAAAAAAATTAAACTGTTTTCAATCATCATCATCACCAGCTCCATAGAACTTGTGTTTGCGATAGATGACACATTTTGCAAGCCATTTGACACCACCAAGATATGACCACAAATCGCTGCCAACATCTCCACCTTGAAGACCTTTGATCAAACCATCAGGAACAATGTAAGTAATTTCATCGTCGAGCATGAACCAAACTCTTCCTTTGTTGACGAAGGCAACGAAATGACCTTGATGATAAGCAATAATGGAATGTATCTTAAATACATACGTTCCATCACTGAGTTGAGTTTTGTAGTTCTTCTTGATCTCAAATTTGTCAAAGAAGACATTTGGATCAGACCAATTCCTCTGAACGTCGACCCAGAGGAATGTTGAGATTTCATTGATATGAGAATCATCTGTGCACATTTGTTTAATTCCTTGATCAATACCTGCTGCACCAAGAGGAATGTGAAGCGAAACCGAATAGAAGCTTTCATCAGGAGTCTCAGTTTGATATTGGAATGTAACGGCAATATCTGGTTTGTTTGCTGATTCCGTAACATCATGTACAATCTTTTGAAATGTGTCATCGGCATCTTGCTGCTGGAAGTATTGCTTGCCGAGTGTTGTGATGAATTGTGAGCATGAAATTGTGTATTCCTTGTGGCGGTAGTGCAACATCTGATCATAAATTTCGGCAAGTGCTTTCACTGGCGTATATTCGACATCTCCCAAATGCTCCATTACATCTTTTCTGAAAGTATTTACGTAGAACAAAACTTGCAAAACGGCATTGACATGGCAGGTAGCTCCCTCATTATGTAATCCTGGAATTGACATTTTTGTTTCGATGTTGTAGATTGCATTTTGTGTTCTTTTAACAAGTATCTTATCAATCTTTTCATATCCAGCTAGTGGAGATGGAATCTTCATTGGAGTTTCTGGAGTTT